CATACCTCCCTCCATGTAGATGCAGATCCATTGAGGACTACACGTTGAGTCTGGTTGGTCAACCAGTTATAAATCATTGCATACAGCTCTTAAAGGGTCACTACCTCCAATATACACTAGATAAACATGACGATAAATAAATAAATACAAAATTATATGCCACTCATGCATCATCATAAAATCTCCAGAATCGTAAAGCCTACAAACTTGAAATTTGCCACATATGTTCCTCTTGGCTTCTAGGTACTCGCTAAGAAAGGATTTTTCGAAATGACCATCAGAGCATTAGTATTTCCTATATTATTATTAACACACTCAGATGCTAAGGAGTTCTACTCCCCCTCCCCACCTAAAAAGAAATCTGTTCCAAATGCAAAACACAAGCAGAGGAGAGGAGTTTCAGTTTTACTTTCGCAGCAGCAAGCAGGGGATAGGATAGGGGAGGCTTCTGTGGGGCAAGGCTGAGGGAGAGGAGAGGAGAGGAGAGGCCTCTGTGGGGCAAGGCTGAGGGAGAGAAGGGAATAGGATAGGGGAGGCTTCTGTGAGGCCGATCGTAACTACTATATATATAGTTAATATTTCGGGTTTCTTCCCGTGTAATTGTGGATATATCCCTAAAAGGGTAGAAGCGACGTTTCGGCAGAATCCCATCTGCCATCATCAGGCTTATGCCAGTAGTCATTTTGCACTAACTGACGTTGGAATTTCAAATCTGGTGCTGGTATTCTGGGATGGCTCCACCTTTTCATTCTGATTGGTTGGGAGTCCCAGTATGTGTTTATTGGCTTGGCTTCGGGTGTATGGTCGGTTTTTCTCCACTAGGTGGCAGGGCTTTATCTTTGTGGCTGGTTTGAATATGATTTGGTTGGGATTTTTTTGTGCAATGTTTGGTCCATGTTCCACATATGGTGTCAAGATTCGTCTATCTATGAGAGCAGGTTTCCAAATAGTAGGCAGACGTGAAGTGTCATCCCGTTTATTCATGCAATATGGTCTTTTTTCCATTTCTATTGCTTCTCTGATTATCCTGCCATTGAGATGTTCTATTTTTGCAACTGTTTTTGTTTTATTAAAATTAATGTTGTGTCCTGTTGTATTTATATGTTGAACTAATGATGATGTGTGTTCTTGCTTTTGTATTGAGTTTTTGTGTTCCTCGATGCGCACACTCATTCTTCTGTTGGTCTGTCCAATGTATGTTGATGGGCAGGAAGCACATGGGATTTCATATATGCCTTGATCTTCTAATTCAGAAATCAGAATGAAAAGGTGGAGCCATCCCAGAATACCAGCACCAGATTTGAAATTCCAACGTCAGTTAGTGCAAAATGACTACTGGCATAAGCCTGATGATGGCAGATGGGATTCTGCCGAAACGTCGCTTCTACCCTTTTAGGGATATATCCACAATTACACGGGAAGAAACCCGAAATATTAACTATACACACACACACACACACACACACACACACACACACACACACACACATATATATATATATATATATATATATATATATATATATATATATATATATATACACACACTATATGTATATATATATATATGCATACATACACACACATATATGATACAGAGAAATAACACAGTCTAGTTCGGATGTTTACATGTACATGGCGAGAGAAATGAATCTTGTGACTTTACCAGACGGATGGCCTAGGAAACAAAGCTGTTACAGAATCTGGAAGTCCTGCTAGAAATACTTCGAAACCTCCTCCCAGAGAGGAGCAACAGAAACAAACCGTGAAGTGGGTCGTGGCATCTCTGACAATGCTTTGAGCTCTCAGCACATAGCGCTTATAAGCAATATCCTGAATGACAGAAAGTGAGCTTCCGATAATCTTCTCCACTGTCCTCACCACTCTCTGTAGGGACTTTCTATCTGAGGCACTGCTGCCCCCAAACTAAACAGGGATGTTGTTTGTTAAAATGCTCTGGATCGTGCCTCTGTAAAAAGTGGCCAGGATAGGAGAAAGATGTGCTCTCTTCATCCGACGCAGGAAATGCAGACGCTGGTTTGCATGCTTCACTAAGGATGACATGTGGAGAGACTAGTTCAGATTGTTGGTTATCCACATGCCCAGATACTTAATACTGTTGACCACCTCTACAGTTGCATCTTTGATACGGAGTGGAGTATGACTAACCCACATTTTTCTACCTTATCAAGTAATAGGTTGTGGTCTACTTTATCAAATGCCTTACTGAAGTCCAAGTAAATTATACCCACAGCCTTTCTCCGGTCTAGAAGACATTGTGCCCAAAGAAACACGTGGATCAAACTTTGTAAAGTCACTAACTTACAGTTTATCCTCAACTTACAACCATTCATTTAGCGACAGTTCCACATTCCAATGCCAGTGAAAAAAAATAGGGATTTATGACGAGTCCTCGCACTTACGACTGTTGTAGCATCTCCATGGTCACAATCCGGCTACATGGCAACCGACATGCATGCATTTAGGACAAGTAAAATCAGTGGGTGAAACTTTTGCTTAATGACTGCATGATTCACTAAAGAACCGCGGTGATTTGCTTAAGAACGGACAAAAAAAAAACTTCGTGAAACTGAGCACAGTGCACTTAAACGACCTCCTACCTGGCTCCAATTCTGGTCATAAGTCGAGGGCTATTTGTAGGGGGCAGCAGCAGGCTCATTTGGAAAAGCTTAAACAGGCTTGGATTTAAGCGGGGTTGAGAAATCACCAGAAGAGACAGTTTGGTCTGGAGACGAAAACATATGAAGAACAGTTGCGGGAAGTGATGTTGTCTAATCTAATGAAAAGAAGGACTAGGGGTGACACTTCCCGCCTGGACTACTGCAATGCTCTCTACATGGGGCTCCCCTTGAGGAGCACCCGGAGGCTCCAACTGGTGCAGAATGCGGCCGTGCGGGGGATTATGGGAGCAAGAGGGCGCTCCCATGTGACGCCTCTCCTGCGCGAGCTGCATTGGCTTCCAGTGGTCTTCTGGGTGCGCTTCAAGGTGTTGGTTACCACCTTTAAAGCCCTCCATGGCATAGGACCTGGGTATTTGCGGGACCACCTTCTGCCGCCGATAGCCTCCCACCGACCAGTACTCTCCCACAGAGAGGGACTCCTCAGGGTGCCGTCAGCCAGGCAATGTCGGCTAGCGACCCCCAGGGGGAGGGCCTTCTCTGTGGCAGCTCCTGCCCTCTGGAACGATTTGCCCCCGGAGATACGAAGGATATCGGATCTCCGGGTCTTTCGCCGTGCCCTGAAAACTTTTCTTTTCCATCAAGCAGGGCTGGTGTGACCCCTCTCCCTTTTTAGTTTTTTAGTTTTTTAGCTTTTAATTTGTCAATGGGTTTTAATTTGAATTGTTTTAAATTTGGGCCAAAGTATGTAATTCTTTTAATAGTTTTAAATTTTGTATTGGTATGTGTTTTAGTTCTGGCTGTGCACCGCCCTCAGTCCACTAGGAGAAGGGCGGTATACAAATTGAATAAAATAAAATAAAATAAATAAATGATAGTCTTCCAGTATCTGAGGGGTTGCCACAGAGAAGAAGGGGTCAAGCTATTCTCCAAAGCACCTGAACAAGAAGCAACGGATGGAAACTAATCAAGGAGAGAAGCAACCTGGAACTAAGGAGGACAATTAATCAGTGGAACTGCTTGCCACCAGAAGTCGTGGGTGCTCCATCACTGGAGGTTTTGAAGAAGAGACTGGACAGCCAACTGTCTGCAATGGCATAGGGTCTCCTGCCTCAGCATGGGGTTGGACTAGAGGACTTCTGAGGTCGTCCCTTCCAACTCTAATACTCTACGTTCTACAATCTCCAATGCAGGGGTGGGTTCTAAATTTTTTTACTACCGGTTCTGTGGGCGTGGCTTATTTTGTGGGTGTGGCTTGGAGGTCATGTGACTAGGTGGGCGTGGCTAGCTGGTCAGAGTCATTTCTGGAGGGTCCTCGCACTTACAACCAGTCCTCGCACTTATGACCCGACTCATTTGTTTGCTTTTAACACTGATCAGCTGTCGGGCGGCCCTTTGAAGCCCCGCGGCAAGAGTTTAAACAGTTTTTTTTCCCTCTAGTCATCAGCTGGGACTCAGGAGGCAGCAATAGATTGGGGGTGGGACCAAATAAAAGGTAAGAATAATGTGGGTGGGGGGGGGGGGTGGGGGGGTGGGAGGGGAGAACCGGTTCGGTGACATCATATCGTCACCACTACCGGCTCGGCCGAACCGGGAGGAACCCACCACTGCTCCAATGCCTTCCACACCTCTAACATGGTTGTTTCAAAAGTATGCAGCCAAGCTGGTGACTGGAGAGGTTGAGAGCATAAGATCGTCTTGTGGGTGACATGAGAGCAGTGTTCCAATATTTGAGGCGCTGCCCCAAAGAGGAGGGGGAGGTCACTCCAAAGAGGAGGGGGAGGTCACTTGTACTCCAAAGCCCCTGAAGGCAGGACAAGATGCAACAGATGGAAATGAATCAAGGAGAGAAGCAACTTGGAACTAAGGAGAGAAGTAACTTGGAACTAAGGAGAAATTTCCTGACGGTGAGAACAATTAATCAGTGGAACGACTTGCCACCAGAAGTTGTGAATGCTCCAACACTGGAAGTTTTCAAGAAGAGATTGGACAGCCACCTGTCTGAAATGGTACAGAGTCTCCTGCTTGAGCAGGGGGTTGGACTAGATGACCTCTAGCCCGTGAAGAAATTTCATCATACAAGCATTGGGACACCGTTTTTCTGCTTTAGACACAGGGGTTAAACGCACAAAGGTCAGAAATCGTTCTCGGTTCCTCCAAATTGAAACCTGAACTGAAGAAATGCCCACATCTCACAGTTGTGGTGCCTGATCTAATTTGTCTTCTCGAGCCTGAGAACTCCGACCACTTCCTCCTTTTCAGGCTTATAATGGTAGCAAACATCCTGGCCGGCAGAGATACTTGAGGCTTCGCTACCCTGCGTAGAAACGCTGCTCTTCCGACGTGCCGCAGAGTGGTTGTGTTGGGGTTGGGGGCCAAAGTTCAGGTGGAAAACAATGGCTGAAGATCCCCGCAAAGGATGCTGGAGATTTGGGAAGATTAAGCATCGTGAAAACCAACCTCAGTGAGTATCTCCTTCCCATCCTAAAATAAAACAATTGCGCTGGGGAATGAGATGAGAAAAGGCGGACTTGCAGTTTTGTTTTAGATCAGAGGCAGTAATTGCTTATTTTTTACTTTGCTACTAATGGGATGTATTTCATTTAACAGATTTAACAGATTGTTGGAAGGGACCTTGTAGGTCATCTAGTCTGACCCCCTGCCCAAGGAGGAGACCCTACCCTAATTTCTGACAGAGGGCAGTCCAGTCTCTTCTTGAAAGCTTCCAGTGATGAAACTCCCACAACTTCTGTTCCATGGGTTGATTGTTTCTCACTGTCAGAAAATTCCTCCTTATTTCTAGGTTGAATCTCTCCTTGGTCAGTTTCCATCCATTGTTCCTTGTTTGGCCTTCGGGTGCTTTGGAGAATAGCTTGGTCCCCTTCCTCCTCTCTGGGGCAGCCCCTCAAGTATTGGAAGATGCTCTCCTGTCTCCCCTGCTCCTTCTCTTCCCTAGATCAGCCATGTCTTCTGTCCATCTATGGTTCATTCAGATGTCTTTCTTTCTTTTTCTTTCTTTTCTTTTCTTTTCTTTCTTTCTTTCTTTCTTTCTTTCTTTCTTTCTTTCTTTCTTTCTTTCTTTCTCTCTCTCTCTCTCTCTCTCTCTCTCTCTCTCTCTTTCTTTCCCTCCCTTCCACCTTCCTTCCCTCCCTCCCTCCTTCCTTCCTTCCTTCCTTCCTTCCTTCCTTCCTTTTGCTTTGGAAAATAGCTTGACCCTCTTCCTCCTCTCTGGGGCAGCCCCTCAAATATTGGAAGATGCTCTTCTGTCTCCCCTGGTCCTTCTCTTCACTAGACTAGCCAGGCCCAGTTCCTGCAACCGTTCATCGTATGTTTTATTCTCCAGGCCCCTCATCATCCTGGTTCAGTGGCTCCCGGTTCGCACCGATTCACAAGAACCAGTAGTAAAAAATTGTAGTAGTTCAGAGAACCGGTAATAACATTGGCTGGCCATGCCCCCGAACCAGTCCCCGGCCCGGTCGCCGCTCACTTACCCCGCCCACCTCATCAGAGGCTTTTTTTGTTGTTGTTTTTTACTTTTAAAAGCATTTTTTCTACAACCTTAAGAGGTTGCAGAAAAAAATGCTTTTAGAAGCCTCTGAGGATCAGGCAACTCAGCTGGGATCGCCAGAGGCTTTTAAAGGCATTTCCCCCCCCTACAACCTCTTAAATGCCTTTAAAAAGCCTCTGGCAATCCCAGCTGAGCTGCTTGATTGATTGATTGATTGATTGATTGATTGATTGATTGATTGATTGATTTATCACATTTCTATACCGCCCTACTCCCGGTTGACTCAGGGTGGTGAACAGCCAAGATAAAATACAGACAATACAAACGTTAAAAGTCCCTTAAAATTATTACATATTTTGGCCGAAACACAGATTAAAACACCCAATTTATAAAACAAATCACACGAATTAAAAATTTAAAAGAGGAGAGTTAAGCCAGGCCAGCCTGCTGAAATAAGTTTTGAGAGCACGACGAAATGTGCGCAGATCCGGGATCCTCCGTATCTCCACCCCAGACCACCCCAACGATGCCCTTGATGTGATGTCTCGCTGCCTGGAGGCCGTGCGGGTCTGGATGGGGAAGAACTTGCTCAGATTCAACCCCTCCAAGACCGAGTGGCTGTGGCTTCCGGCGCCCCGATATAGTCAGCAGGTGCCATCGCTAACTATTGGGGGTGAATCTCTGCCCCCCACAGAGAGGGCTCGCAATCTGGGTGTCCTTCTGGATGCACGGCTGTCTTTAGAAGAGCATATGACGGCCATGGCCAGGGGGGCCTTTTATCAGGTTCGCCTGATTCACCAGTTGCAGCCCTTTCTGGATCAGGATGCCCTGCGCACGGTCACTCATGCCCTTGTTACTTCCTGGTTGGACTATTGTAATGCTCTCTACATGGGGCTCCCCTTGAAGAGCACTCGGAGGCTCCAACTGGTCCAGAATGCGGCCGCGCGGGTGGTTATGGGCGCAACTCGTTGTGCCCATGTGACACCCCTCCTGCGCGAGCTGCACTGGCTCCCAGTGGTCTTCCGGGTGCGATTCAAGGTGTTAGTTACCACCTTTAAAGCACTCCATGGCACAGGACCCGGGTACCTCCGAGACCGTCTTCTGCCACCAATAGCCTCCCACCGACCAGTCCGTTCCCACAGAGAGGGTCTCCTCAGGGTGCCGTCAACCAAGTTATGTCGACTGGCGGCGCCCAGGGGGAGGGCCTTCTCTGTGGGAGCCCCAGCCCTGTGGAACGAACTGCCCCCGGAAATTCGTAAGATCTCCGACCTCCGGGCGTTTCGCTGCGCACTGAAGACCCTATTATTCCGCCAGGCCGGACTAGCAACACAATAGTTTTTAAATTGGGATATTTAAATTTATTGGGGTTTTAAATCTGAGCCACTTTATTTAATTATTTTAAATTTTATATTGTTGTTTTGTTTGTGTTTTTAAACAGGCTATACACCGCCCTGAGTCCTTTGGGAGAAGGGCGGTATAGAAATAAAATTATTATTATTATTATTATCTCTGGGGGAGCTCGTTCCAGATGGTAGGTGCCCCCACAGAGAAGGCTCTCCCCCTGGGGGCCGCCAGTCGACACTGTTTGGCCGACGGCACCCTGAGGAGCCCCTCTCTATGGAGCGTACTGGTCGGTGGGAGGCTATTGGTAGCAGAAGGCGGTCTCGTAAATACCCTGGTCTGATGCCATGGAGCGCTCTAAAGGTGGTAACCAAAACCTTGAAGCGCACCCGGAAGACCACCAGGAGCCAGTGCAGCTCGCGCAGGAGGGGGGTCACATGGGACCCCCCTCCTGCGATCATCAGAGGCTTTTTTTTTTTACTTTTAAAAGCATTTTTTCGGCCGAAGAGGTTGTAGAAAAAATGCTTTTAAAAGTAAAAAAAAAAAAAAGCCTCTGATGAGGTGGGCGGGGTAAGCGAGCGGCGATCGGGCCGGGGACCGTTTCGGGGACGTGGCCAGCCAATGTTATTACCGGTTCTCCGAACTACTACAAATTTTTACTACCGGTTCTTGCGAAACAGTGCGAACAGGGAGCAACCCACCACTGGTGTGGCCTTACTAAGGCTTTATAGAAGGGTATTAGTACCTCCCTCCCTTGATCTTGATTGTATCCCTCTGTTAATGCAGTTTAGGATTGCGTTGGCTTTTTTGGCTGCCGCCGCACACGGCTGGCTCCTATTTAATTCTTTGTCCACTAAGACTCCAAGATCCCTGTAGGCCAATCTCTTCCCCCCAATCCTTCCTTATCCAGGTCTTCCTGCCCTTATGATTAGCCCTTGACCCACCTGCCACTGTCACCCTGTCAGGACGATGAAGAAATCCGTCATTCCCCTGGAGACACATCATGGTCCTAGAGAGGATTCAAACGCAGCCGCGAAGGGGGCAGCTGGGGAGGAGCATGGAATGCCACCCTTGGAGACCCCTTTCCAGCCGGAAGCCCCTCCCTCACCCCGGATTCGGTTGGATCTGGATTATTGGCGAGGACTTAACAGGTAAGGAGCCTGGATAGCTCTGCAGACTAAGCACTGTAATTTAACACCAGCTGTCTGCAATTACTGTAAGTTCGAATCTCACCAGGCTCAAGGTTGACTCAGCCTTCCATCCTTTCTAAGGTAGGTAAATTGAAGACCCAGTTTGTGGGGGCAATAAGCTGACTTTGTATAAAATATACAAAAGTATGAAGTGCTTAACGCACCGTAAGCCGCCCTGAGTCTCCGGAGAAGGGCGGCATATAAATCAAATTTTTTTTTTTAAAAAAAGTAATTTATCACTGATAACAGTGGGAATTATTTTGCAGATTTTCAATTTAAATATACTTTATTGAATTTTATATACATACAGAAAAAAAAAATCTCATTTCTATTAACATCGGATATGCAGTGTTTATACATATATGCATAAAATATATCAGGTGTCACTTAAGCTATTTGTTGCTATTTATTTATCGCACCTTATACTCCTACTTTGATTCTATCATTCATCCATTCATACCACCTTTCCCACACTGTATAATACTCTGAGTTCTCAGAGAGAACTTGCAGATTTTCACGACCAGAAAGAATTTTGCCTTGATTTCTGTCAACGGCTTACGGGTTACTTTGTCCTATGCAGGAGTCTTAAAACAATGTACAAACATAATTATTCGTTTGTTTCCTGCCTTCGTTATTTTTACAAATCCCTCAAGACGGTGAACACATCCAATGCACCTTCCCCCTTCCCAACTCTCAGTTGGGTTGGCTGAGAGAGGGATTGGCCCAAAGTCACCCAACCAGCTTTCGTGCCTAAGGCAGGACTAGAACTCACCATCTCCTGGTGATCGGCTCAAAGGCATCGAGCCTTCCAACCTATTATTAACCTTATTAACCTATTATTAATCTTCCAACTTTATTAATCTATATTCTATGAGCCGGCTTTCATGGCTGAGGTGGGACTAGAACTCACCAGCTCCTGGTCATTGGCCACAAGTCACCCAGCCAGCTTTCGTGGTTAAGGCTAATGAACCCCCCCCCCTTTTTTTTTTTTAGTTTTTTAGCTTTTAATTTGTCAATGGGTTTTAATTCGAATTGTTTTAAATTTGGGCCAAAGTATGTAATTCTTTTAATAATTTTAAATTTTGTATTGGTATGTGTTTTAGTTTTGGCTGTGCACCGCCCTGAGTCCACTAGGAGAAGGGGGTATAAAAATTGAATAAAATAAAATAAAATAAAATAAAATAAAATAAAATAAAATAAAATAAAATAAAATAAAATAAAATAAAATAAAATAAAATAAAATAAAATAAAATAAATAAATAAATAAATAAATAATAAATAAATAATCACCATCACCGTGGTTAAGAAAATCACCATCTTCTGGTGATTGGCCCAAAGGCACCTAGCTGCATTTCATGGCTGAAGTGGGACAAGAACTCACTGTCTCCTAGTTGATTGGCCCAATGGCACCTAGCTGCATTTCATGGCTGAAGTGGGACTAAAACTCACTGTCTCCTAGTTGATTGGCCCAATGGCACCTAGCTGCATTTCATGGCTGAAGTGGGACTAGAACTCACTGTCTCCTAGTTGATTGGCCCAATGGCACCTAGCTGCATTTCATGGCTGAAGTGGGACTAGAACTCACTGTCTCCTAGTTGATTGGCCCAATGGCACCTAGCTGCATTTCATGGCTGAAGTGGGACAAGAACTCACTGTCTCCTAGTTGATTGGCCCAATGGCACCTAGCTGCATTTCATGGCTGAAGTGGGACTAGAACTCATGTCTCCTAGTGATTGGCCCAATGGCACCTAGCTGCATTTCATGGCTGAAGTGGGACAAGAACTCACTGTCTCCTAGTTGATTGGCCCAATGGCACCTAGCTGCATTTCATGGCTGAAGTGGGACTAGAACTCACTGTCTCCTAGCGATTGGCCCAATGGCACCTGGCCAACTTTCATAGCTAAGGCGGAACCAGAACTCTCCGTCTCTTGTTGATTGACTCAAAGGCATCCAGGCAACTTTCATGGATAAGGCAGGGACTAGAACTCACCCTCTCCTGGTAATTGAGCCAAAATCACCAGCTAGCTTTCGTGGACCGAAGGACTGAATCTTGCCTGGATCCTTTTCCTTTCTTTTCTCTTTTGCAGACCGCGTGATCCAAATTCCTTCGACAGGGACCGTATTTTTCAAGCCGTGGTTGCGGGAAATCCTGAACTGCTTAATGGCCTGGGCGATTATCTGTGGAAAAAGTCCAGCCATCTCACTGACTCTATTTTTAGAGGTAAATTGCTTACTGTTCCTTGCTGACTCTCATGTCTTTACATCAGCGTAAAAACAAGGCAAGCCTCATAGAGCTGCCCCTAGAAGGGAATATTTGCAGCTCAGAGTTGAACGGGGTGTGTGTGTCAATTAAAATAGAGCTGGAAGGGACCTTGGAGGTCATCTAGTCCAACCCCCTGCTATACCGTTTCAGACAAATGGCTGTCTAATCTCTTCTTTAAAACCTCCAGTGATGGAGCACCCACAACTTCTGGTGGCAAGCAGTTCCACTGGTTAATTGTCCTCCTCACTGTTAGGAAGTTTCTCTTTAATTCCAGGTTGCTTCTCTCCTTGGTTAGTTTCTATCCACTGTTTGTTGACTTGCCTTCTGGTTTTGCTTTGGAAAATAAGTTGACTCCTTAATTTTGGAACACTGCTATCATGTATCGCCCTAGTCCTTCTTTTCTCTAGACTAGCCAAACCCACTTCCTTGTGGAGTTTGTTTGTTTGTTTGTTTATTTATTTATTTATTTATTTATTTATTTGATTTTCATACCGCCCTTCTCCAACAGGACTCAGGGCGGTGAACAGCCGAGATAAAACATAACATATAAAATTTAAAAGCAGTTTAAAAGACATTAAATAATTTCGGCACTCAATTTAAAACAACCCAGTTAAAAATTAAAACCCCAATCAATTTAAAACCAATTTTAAAATTTGAATATATAAAATACTAAAAAATATTAAAAATTAAAAATCTTTTATAAAAGAGAGAGAAAATTAGGCCAGGCTCGCCTGGTGAAATGAAAAGGTCTTTAAGGCACGGCGGAAGGTGCGCAGATCCGGGATCCTCCGTATCTCCGGGGGGAGCTCGTTCCAGATAGTAGGTGCCCCCACAGAGAAGGCTCTCCCCCTGGGGGCCGCCGGTCGACATTGCCTGGCCGACGGCACCCGGAGGAGCCCCTCTCTGTGGGAGCGTACCGGCCGGTGGGAGGCTATTTGTGGTAGTAGGCGGTCCCGCAAGTACCCAGGTCCCGAGCCATGGAGCGCTTTAAAGGTGGTAACCAAAACCTTGAAGCGCACCCGGAAGGCCACCGGGAGCCAGTGCAGCTCGCGCAGGAGGGGTGTTACATGGGAACGCCATGTCGCTCCCATTACCACCCGCGCGGCCGCACTCTGCGCCAGTTGGAGCCTCCGGGTGCTCCTCAAGGGGAGCCCCATGTAGAGAGCGTTGCAATAGTCCAGGCGGGAGGTGACGAGGGCATGAGTGACTGTGCGTAACGAGTCCCGAGTTGAAGTCCACAAGACTTAAAAGAGCATTCTTATGCGCTTTAGCCTCCAAGCCTATGAATCATCTTAGTTGCAGTTTCTTTGCAGTTTCTCCAAAGCTTCAACATCTGTTTGTAATGTTCATTTGGAGCACCTGAGAAAGCATTCCATGGGTGCAAAATTTCAGAATGCCCTTGTCTGCTCCTGAGTCTTCGGAGAGGGGCGGCATGTAAATTTAATTAATTAAATTAAATTAAATTAAATTAAATTTGGGCTGCAGCTGCCCCCCCCCCCCACCCAGATTCTGCTGGACCTTGGGTGGGCCAGGATCTGGTAGCCCAAACCCCCTCTGAAGATGCTAGATGATCTGTCCCCGTACCCACACACACACAAACACAGCCAGTCAAGGGTTAAGGAAACACTTTGGAACGCACCCAGGTCTTATCTCCCACTTGGCAGCGATAGACACACCGTCTGCCAAGTGACTTTATTTTCAAAGTAAAACAGAAAGATAAATACTCAAGAGTCCAAATGTCCGACACTTTAAATCTTTCTCTCAGCAGTTCCGGACGAGGCTTTAGTGACTATCTAAGGTTTGCTTTGTTCGTCACAAGGATCCTTGACCACCACCCTCTATTATATAGTCTCTGGGGTGTGGTCCAGTGACTCAGTTCTAATCCCTAGCACGCCTCCTAAGCTGCTGCAAACGTTTATCACGCCTTCGGAGGCGTGCGTCCAGGAATGATGTTTCGTCATCACTCTGATCCAAACCAGCTGTCTCCTCTCCCTCGGCCGGCACTTGAGACAATGCCAGAGGGGAGGGGCCTGGAGAGGGAGGCCTGGCTGACTCCTCTTCCTCATGCTCGGAGTTTTCTTCCTCCGATGGGACAGGCTCAGAGGGCGGGGCCACAACACTAGAAGCAACGGGTGCCTCCATCTCTAGATGTTCTCCAAATTCTTCAACTAGTTTGCTGAGTCTCCCCAACGTGAGCCTTTACAGAGAGATGGGGCTGGACTATAGTTCCCATGCTCCTAAGCACTTGATTGTTGTTGTCTGGGTGGTGGGAGAAGCAACTCATGTCTGGAAAGTTCCCAAAGTGGGAAAAGTGAACCTTGGAAAGACTCTGGGACAGCATTTGGCCTCTTGAAGATAGGTGGACTTCCACTTCCAGAATTTCCCAGCCAGCTTTGCTTTTCATTCTGGAATTCTGGGAGTTGAAGTCCACCCATCTTCAGGTGGCCAACGTGAAGGAACATCGCTTTAGGAAGATGGAAGACGGGGCGGGCATCACCCAAGCTTCCTTCCCTGGGCTTCTTTCTTCCAGATGGGAAGACAGGCAAGACCTGTTTGATGAAGGCCTTGCTCTATTTGAAAGACGGGAAGAACCCCACCATCCCTGAGCTCTTGAAGATAGACAAGGAGACCCAGAACCCCAAGTCTTTGGTCAACGCCGCTTGCACTGGCAGCTACTACAAAGGTCAGGCTCCTTCATGGGACGTTGAGGGTGGAGGACTCTGTTTTCTAGGGTGGGGTGGCTGGAAGGAGATTTTCAGTTGGGATAGATTGGAACTTCCTTCCTTCCTTCCTTCCTTCCTTCCTTCCTTCCTTCCTTCCTTCCTTCCTCCTCCTCCTGCCCATTCCTCCTCCTCCTCCTCTGCCTCCTCTTCCTCCTTCTCCTCCTCCTCTTCTTCTTCCTCCTCCACTACTACTACTACTACTATTACTACTATTTCTTCTTCATCCTCCTCCTCCTCTCCTCCTCCTCCTCTTCTTCCTCCTCCACCACCACTACTACTACTACTTCTTCTTCTTCCTCCTCCTCCCCACTCCTCCTCCTCCTCCTCCTCTGCCTCCTCTTCCTCCTCCTCCTCCTCCTCCTCCTTCTCTTCTTCTTCTTCTTCTTCTTCTTCTTCTTCTTCTTCTTCTTCTTCTTCTTCTTCTTCTTTCTTCTTCTTCTTCTTCTTCTTCTTCTTCCTCCTCCTCCTCTTCCTCCTCCTCTTCTTCCTCCTCCACTACTACTACCACTATTACTACTACTCAATGGTGGGATTCAAATAATTTAACAACCGGTTCTCTGCCCTAATGATTTCTTCCAACAACCAGTTCACCAAACTGCTCAGAAAGTTAACAACCGGTTCTCCCGAAGTGGTGCGAACTGGCTGAATCCCACCACTACTACTACATCTTCCTCCTCCTCCTCCTCTTCTTCCTCCACTACTACTACTACTATTACTTCTTCTTCTTCTTCTTCCTCCTCCTCCTCCTCTTCTTCTTCTTCCTCCTCTTCTTCCTCCTCGTCTTCCTCCACCTCCACTACTACTATTTCTTCTTCTTCTTCTTCTTCTTCTTCTTCTTCTTCTTCTTCTTCTTCTTCTTCTTCTTCTTCTTCTTCTTCTTCTTCTTCTTCTTCTTCTTCTTCTTCTTCTTCTTCTTCTTCTTCCTCCTCCTCCTCCTCCTCCTCCTCTTCTACCTCCACTACTACAACTACTATTACTTCTTCTTCTTCCTCCTCCTCTTCTTCCTCCTCGTCTTCCTCCTCCTCCACTACTACTACTATTACTACTTCTTCTTCTTCTTCTTCTTCTTCTTCTTCTTCTTCTTCTTCTTCTTCTTCTTCTTCTTCTTCTTCTTCTTCTTCCTCCTCCTCCTCCTCCTCCTCCTCCTCCTCCTCTTCCTCCTCCTCCTCCTCCTCGATCTTATGGAAATCCCATAATATTTTAGCCAACGAATTCGGGGAATGTTTATTCATTTCATCAATTTCCATGCCCTCCCCCAATGTTGACATAACAAACCCATGTGCCTTTCTGAACAGACAGCCAGGAGTGTGGTCATAAAAGTCAAAATGGCCACCGCCATCGTAGGGGATCTTAAGGGGACCGTTCTCTTCCCATTCTTGAAACCCCATCCCATCCTTGGAAACGCAGGGAAATTAGAGGGAATTTAGTGCTCCATTAGTGGTACGGTTAAAAAAAATAATGGAGCTTTTTCAGTTAGACAAGAAAACAAGTGGACCTTTGAGGGCCCTGTGGTGGCTGCCATCTTGGCCTTTTTGACCGAAACGTGTGTGGACATCTTTAATAAACCCTTCCATCTTTCTTCGGTGCCGTTTCTCCCCTCCTCTGCAGGCCAAACAGCTCTCCACATCGCCATCGAGAAGAGGAGCTTAGATTTTGTGAAGCTCCTGGTGGAGAACGAGGCTGATGTCCACATGAAGGCTTCTGGTTTTTTGTTCCAGCAGGACTACAAAGACCTTCACTTTTATTTCGGTATGGCATGACAAATGTTGTGGGTGCATTTTGCCTTTTTTAAAATTTTTACCGCTCCTGCAGGCATCCTTGTTTTCATCAGCAAAGGGGATTTGATATCCTCCCTCTCTGGGAGACACTGTGTCAGGTGTCGATGTCATCTCAAATAAATTGCACTCCCAAGCAATTAATCTTTGCTGAAATATTCCATTTATTGAGTACGACAGATCTGGCCCCGACTTCGTCGTAGCCGATACTAACCCTCTGACCCCCAAACCCTTCCCTTTCCGTTCCCCAATTCTCATCTTCTCATTGGCCATCTTCCAAGTCAAGTCTCCCCAGCTTCTGACCTCACCCCACAGGAATGTTCCCCCCTCCCATCCCATCTCCTAGGGGATATTATCTACAGAGAAAATAAGTAGGTGAAAAGTCAAGCCTCGTCTTTTTATGGCAGCATCAGAATGCTGACACACTGCAGATCAGAGGTGGGCCAACCATGGCCACTTGAAGACCTGTGGACTTCAACTCCCAGAATTCCCCAGGCCAGCCAGCCAATTCTGGGAGTTGAACTCCACAAGATTTAAAGACCTGTGGACTTCCACCAAGGCCGATCGAAGACCTGCTGGCTGGGGAATTCTGGGAGTTGAAGTCCACAAGACTTAGTTGGTTAGTTTATTTTATTTATTTGTCAAGCATGCATAAGATAACAGGTAAAAGTATAAACATAATTTGAATACATGAAAAGAGTCAGTAAAAAGGAATATTAGGACAGGGACGGTAGGCACGCTGGTGCACTTATGCACGCCCCTTACAGACCTCTTAGGAATGGGGTGAGGTCAACAGTAGACAGTTTAAGGTTAAAGTTTTGGGGGTTTGGGGAAGAAACTACAGGTAGTGCAGTCCAGGCATTGACCACTCTGTTACTGAAGTCGTATTTTCTGCAATCGAGTTTGGAACGGTTTAACTTGAGTTTGTATCTATTATTTGCTTAAATAATAATAATAATAATAATAATAATAATAATAATAATAATAATAATAATAATAATAATAATCCCGATTGTAATTGGAGCCCTTGGAGCAATACCCAAAGGGCTACCCCGCTATTTAGAAATTCTAAATTTGCCGGACTTGAACATTTTGACTCTACAAAAAACCACCTTACTCGGAACAGCTTACATCCTCCGACGATACCTTGGCAGTTCCTAGGTCCTTGGTTAGGACTCGAGCTGCTGAGCCATTAACCAGCCTCAAAGGCTGTGAATCTCACTAAAGACTAAATAATAATAATAATAATAATAATAATAATAATAATAATAATAATATTGACTTACTCGGAAGAGCTTACATCCTCCGACAATAGTTTAACAGTTCCTAGGTCCTTGGTTAGGACTCGAGCTGCTGAGCCATTAACCAGCCTCAAAGGCTGTGAATCTCACTAAAGACTAAATAATAATAATAATAATAATAATAATAATAATAATAATAATAATAATATTGACTTACTCGGAAGAGCTTACATCCTCCGACAATACTTTAACAGTTCCTAGGTCCTTGGTTAGGACTCGAGCTGCTGAGCCATTAACCAGCCTCAAAGGCTGTGAATCTCACTAAAGACTAAATAATAATAATAATAATAATAATAATAATAATAATAATAATAATAATAATAATAATAATAATAATAATAATAATAATAATAATATTTGCTTAAATAATAAGACCTGCTGTCTGGGGAATTCTGGGAGTTATAGACCTGTAGACTTCAACCTTGGTCACTCAATAGACCTGCTGGCTGGGGAATTCTGAGAGTTGAAGTCCACAGGTCTTACAAGTGGCCAAGGTTGGACACCTCTGATCTAGATGCTCAATGCAACCTTGGCCCATCGTCCTCTCTCTTCCAGGTGAACTTCCTCTGTCCTTGGCTGCTTGTACCAACCAGCCAGAGATGGTCATGTACCTCCTGGATAACCCTCACCAGAAGGCCAGGCTGACCGAACAGGATTCCATGGGCAACACTGTCCTCCATGCGCTGGTGATGGTGGCCAAGGATACGAAGAAGAACACCAGACTCGTGGTCAACATGTACAACATGATCTTGATGAAAGGGGTCGAGATTGACCGTTCCTGCAAATTGGAAGCGATTAAAAACAAGAAACAGCTGACTCCTTTAACGCTGGCCGTCAAGACTGGGAAAGTCAAGGTTAGTTACCCTCCTCGCCATGATACGTAGTCCTCGACTTACAACCATTCGTTTAATGATGCTTCGATGTTACAACGGCATTAGAAAAAGTGATTCACGGCCAGCCCTTGTCGCATCCCCATGGTGATGAGATCAAAATTCGGACGCTTTATGACAGTTAATAGAATAGAATAGAATAGAATAGAATAGAATAGAATAGAATAGAATAGAATAGAATAGAATGGGGAATGGGAAATAGAGTAGAGTAGAGTAGAGTAGAGTAGAGTAGAGTAGAGTAGAGTAGAGTAGAATAGAATAGAATAGAATAGAATAGAATAGAATAGAATAGAATGGGGAATGGGGAATAGAGTAGAGTAGAGTAGAGTAGAGTAGAATAGAATAGAATAGAATAGAATAGAATAGAATAGAATAGAATAGAATAGAATAGAATAGAATAGAATAGAATAGAATAGAATAGAATAGGGAATGGGGAATAGAGTAGAGTAGAGTAGAGTAGAGTAGAGTAGAGTAGAGTAGAGTAGAGTAGAGTAGAATAGAATAGAATAGAATAGAATAGAATAGAATAGAATAGAATAGAATAACAGAGGTGGAAGGGACCTTGGAGGTCTTCTAGTCCAACCTCCTGCTTCGGCAGGAAACCCTACACCACATCAGACATCTTCTTAAAAACTTCCAGTGTTGGAGCATTCACAACTTCTGGAGGCAAGTGTGCTGTACCACACTTGCCTCCAGAGGCAAGTACCACTGTACTACAAGGCAAAGAGCCTTGGTAGTACAGTGGTCTAAAGCACCCTGTTATTAAGAGCAGCTGCCTGCAATTACTGCAGGTTCGAATCTCTCCAAGGCTCAAGGTTGACTCAGCCTTCCATCCTTCCCAGGTAGGTAAATTGAGGACCCAGTTTGTGGGGGCAATAAGCTGACTTGTATACAAATATACAAAAGGATGAAGGCTATTGCTTAGCACATTGTAAGCCGCCCTGAGTCTCCGGAGAAGGGCGGCATATAAATCAAATTTTAAAAAAAAAAAGTGGTTCCACTGATTAATTGTTCTCACTGTCAGGAAGTTTCTCCTTAATTCCAGGTTGCTTCTCTCCTTGATTAGTTTCCACCCGTTGCTTCTTCTCCTGCCTTCAGGTGCTTTGGAGAATAGCTTGACTCCCTCTTCTTTGGGGCAGCCCCTGAGATACTGGAATATACTGCTATCATGTCTCCCCTGGTCCTTCTTTTCATTAAACTGGACATACCCAGTTCCTGCAACCGTTCTTCATATGTTGGAGTGTCCTGGGTTCCCAGCCATCTTCCAGCAAACCAAGTCAATGGGGGAAAATCAGATTCGCGTAAGGACCTCATGATTCACTTAATAACTGCTTAGAATGAGAACCATACACCTTCACATAATTTATATGCTGATCCTATAAAGTGGCCATTGTTCCACTGATTACTCGACCGCAGCATTTTTAAGATAGGTGGACTTCAACTCCCAGAATTCCCCAGCCAGTCTTGCGTGAAGTATAGATCAGTGATGGGTTTCAAAATTTTTTACTACCGGTTCTGTGGGTGTGGCTTGGTGGGTGTAGCAGGGGAAGGATACTGTAAAATCCCCATTCCCACCCCACTCCGGGGGAGAAGGATACTGTAAAATCCCCATTTCCTCCCGATCAGCTGGGACTCGGGAGGCAGAGAATAGATGAGGGCGGGGCCAGTTAGAATTTTTACTACCGGTTCTCCGAACTACTCAAAATTTCCGCTACCGGTTCTCCAGAACTGGTCAGAACCTGCTGAAACCCGCCTCTGGTACAGGTAGTCCTCGACTTACGACACCTCAAATTGATGTGGCTAAGTGAGACATTTGTTAAGTGAGTTTTGCCCCCATTTTGCGACCTTTCTCGCCACAGTTGTTAAGTGAATCACTGCAGTGAAATATGAGTCATTTGCCAAGTGTCTGAATTTTGTTCTCCTGGCTGTGGGGATGGTGCCATGGTCATAAGTGTGAAAAACGGTCCTAAGTCACATTTTTCAGTGTAACTCTGAATAGTCACTAAATGAACAGCTGTAACTCAAGGACTACCTGTATTTTCATGTCTATATTGTGGTCTGTGTAACGTCAACTTGACTTCATTGTGGATCTTCTTGGAGACAGACTAGAAAAAAGGAGAAATAAACATAAGTGCAAGAGGATTAGTATTATTATAGAGCCTTGGTGGCGCAGCAGACTAAAGCACTGTTAAGTAACACCAGCTGCCTGCAATTACTGCAAGTTCAAATCTCACCAGGCTCAAGGTTGACTCAGCCTTCCGTCCTTCCGAGGTAGGTAAAATGAGGACCCGGATTGTGGGGGCAATAAACTGACTTTGTATAAAAAAGAACACCGCTTGGGGGGCCCGAAAGCCCTACTAAGCAGGTATATACAAAAAGTATGAAGACTATTGCTTAACGCATTGTAAGCCGCCCTGAGTCTCCGGAGAAGGGCGGCATATAAATCGAACCAATAAATAAATAAATAAATATATTGTTATGAATCATGTTTAATTGCATTTAAGTAATTTATCAATGCGTATAATTGTAATTACTTTGTAATATTATTAATGTTAATTAATTATTGTATTTATAATTATATATATTTATAATTAATTTACATTAATTATTATAATTATAATGTTAATTATTATTGATAATAATGTTAACATTAAATATTATTAATAATATTATAATTAATAGTATTATTATTATTGGTATTTGACTGCAAGATGATCCAACCGGTCAGTCCTAGAGGAGATCAACCCTGACTGCTCTTTAGAAGGCCAGATCCTGAAGAGGCAACTCAAATATTTTGGCCAACTAATGAGAAGGAAGGACTCACCGGAGAAGAGCCAAATGCTGGGAACGATGGAGGGCAAAAGAAGAAGGGGACGGCAGAGAAGGAGGTGGCTGGATGGAGTCACTGAAGCAGTTGGCGTGATCTTAAATGGATTCCAGAGGATGGTAGAGGACACGAAGGCCTGTCCATGGGGTCGCGATGGGTCAGATACGACTTCGCAACTAACAACAACAAAATTGCTATTAGTTATAATTAATAGTAATATTATTAAGGATTAATTAAAAGGTCAGGTCCAAAGAGAATCATGTTTGTGCTGAAGTTTTCTGGACTGCGTAGCTTAGTTATCAGGCGTGACTTCAAGAAGGTCAAAAATGTCCAGATGATGGATGGACAATGAGACCCCCTTGGTTTTTCTGACCCACCCCTAGAGACACCCCTGTTGCCAACTCAGCCGTTTTGGTCTTTCCAGATGCTCAAGTACATGCTCACACGAAAGATGAAGGATCCCAATCTTTCGCGCAAGTTCATCGAGTGGACATATGGCCCCCTCCAGACCTCCGTCTACGACATGACCTCCATTGACAGCCGTGAGGAAAACTCGGCGCTGGAGGTCCTGGCCTACAACAGTGACATTCCAGTGAGTAGATCCAGTCAAGGATGGTCCTTCTCAGGATCTTCTCTGCCCTGCGATTCCTTCATTCAGCACCATCTCCTCCTTCTCCTCCTTGTTCCCCCTCCTCTTCTTCTTCCTCTTCCTCTTCCTCTTTCTCCTCCTCCTCCTCCTCTTCCTCCTTCATTCTTTTTCTCCTCCTCTTCCTTCTGCTCCTCCTTTTCTCCTCTTCCTCCTCTTCCTTCTGCTCCTCCTTTTTCTCCTCCTCCTTCTGCTTCTCCTTTTTCTCCTCCTTCTCCTCTTCCTCCTCCTTTTTCTCCTCCTTCTCCTCCTTTTTCTCCTACTTCTCCTTCTCCTCCTCCTCTTCCTCCTCCTCCTTTTTCTCCTCCTCCTCCTCCTACTTTTTCTCTTCCTTCTCCTTTTTCTCCTTTTCCTCCTCCTCCTCCTCCTCTTCCTCCTCCTTCTCCTCCTCCTCTTCTCCTCCTCCTCCTCCTTTTCCTCCTCCTCCTCCTCTTCCTCCTCCTTTTTCTCCTCTACCTCCTCCTCTTCCTCCTCCTTTTTCTCCCCCTCCCCCTCCTCTTCCTCCTCCTTTTCCTCCTCCTCCTCCTCTTCCTCCTCCTTTTTCTCCTCTACCTCCTCCTCTTCCTCCTCCTTTTTCTCCCCCTCCCCCTCCTCTTCCTCCTCCTTTTCCTCCTCCTCCTCCTTTTTCTCCTCCTCCTCTTCCTCCTCCTCCTCCTTTTTCTCCTCCTCCTCCTTTTCCTCCTCCTCCTCTTCCTCCTACTTTTTCTCCTCTACCTCCTCCTCTTTCTCCTCCTCCTCCTCCTTTTTCTCCTCCTCCTCCTTTTCCTCCTCCTCCTTTTCCTCCTACTTCTCCTTCGCCTCTTCATCCTCCTTTTCCTCCTCCTCCTCCTTTTTCTCCTCCTTCTCCTCTTCCTCCTCCTTTTTTCTCCTCTACCTCCTCCTCCTCCTCCTTTTTCTCCTCCTCCTCCTCCTCCTCCTCCTCCTCCTCCTTTTTCTCCTCCTCCTCCTCCTACTTTTTCTCTTCCTTCTCCTTGATTGCTGTGGGTGTGGAGTTCCCCTTTTATTCGCCTTTTTCTTCTATGGGACCTGTTTGCTCTGTGATTTACCTCATGATGCTCCTGTTTGCCTGAGTATCTACTTTGGTATATATATGTAGATGTAAAATGTATTTATTTATATAAAACTACAAGTTCTGGTCAGCATCTCTGACTTCATTTGGACACCGGCTGCTGCCCAACTCCCTGAAAGCGATCTCTCCCGTCCACAGAACCGGACCAAAATCGTGGGCCTGGAGCCTCTGAACAAACTACTTCAGCACAAGTGGGAATCCTTCATTAAAAAAAGGTTTTACTTCAGTTTATTCCTCCATCTGACTTTCATGGTGATCTTCACAGCCACTGCTTACCACTGGCCACCAAAGGATGAGGTAACTCTTCTTTTTTTAAAAAATGGATGGTTTTGGTATAAAGAACAGAACAGAGTTGGAAGGGACCTTAGAGGTCTTCTAGTCCAACCCTCTACTCATGGACAAATGTCGTCCAATTTTTATTTATTTATTTTATTTATTTGTCAAGCATATGTAAGATTACAGATAAAAATATAAATATGATTGTGAAGACATGAAATGTATAAGAATAAAAGGGGACGGTAGCAGAGGTGGGTTTCAGCAGGTTCTGGAGAACCGGTGACGGAAATTTTGAGTAGTTCGGAGAACCGGTAGTAAAAATTCTGACTGGCCCCGCCCACATCTATTCTCTGCCTCCCGAGTCCCAGCTGATCGGGAGGAAATGGGGATTTTGCAGTAATCTTCCCCTGCCACGTCCACCAAGCCACACCCACCAAGTCATGCCACACCTACCAAGCCACGCCCACAGAACTGGTGGTAAAAAAATATAAAACCCGCTGGTGCGCTAATGCACGTCCCTTACAGACCTCTTAGGAATGGGGTGAGGTCAACAGTAACCGTCTAAGATTAAAGTTTTGGGGGTTTGGGGATGAGACCACAGAGTCTGGTAATGCATTCCAGGCATTGACCACTCTGTTGCTGAAGTCGTATTTTTCTGCAATCGAGTTTGGAGCGGTTTACCTTGAGTTTGTATCTATTATTTGCTCCTGTATTGTTGTGGTTGAAGCTGAAGTAGTTCATTGACAGGTAGGACGTTGTAGCAGATAATTTACATTGTGGCCGATTTCTTTTTCTTCTTTTCTTGAATTTTTTTTCTTTTTCTTTACTTTATTTTTTTTTCTTTTTCTTTACTTGAATTTTCCCCCCCCTCAATCTTTTCTTGAAAACCTCCAGTGTTGAAGCACCCACAACTTCTGGTGGCCAGCTGTTCCACTGGTTAATTGTTCTGACTGTCAGGAAATTTCTCCTTAATTCCAGGTTGCTTCTGTCCTTGTTAGTTTCCACCCATTGCTTCTTGTCCTGCCTTCAGGTGCTTTGGAGAATAGCTTGACTCCCTCTTCTTTGGGGCAGCCCCTGAGATATTTTAACACTGCTATCATGTCTCGCCTAGAAATAAGAATAGAACAGAATAGAAATATCTAGAATAGAATAGAATTATGAATAAGAATAGAAAAGAATAGAATAGAATAAATAGAATAGAATAGAATAGAATAGAATAGAATAGAATAGAAATATTAATAAGAATAGAATAGAATGTATTAACCGCAGCTAGAATTGAATTTGCACAACATTGGAAAAGTGGAGAGATTCCCATTGATGAGAACGTGATAAGGAAAATATTAGAATGTGCAGAAATGAACAGACTAACTTTAGCAATTAAGGAGAAAAAAACAAACTGAATACTATGTGATATGGGAGGTATTTTATCAATGGCTGAAGAATAAAAAAGGAGTTTGGAAATGAAGAAGTTTAAAGAGAAAATAAAAATAGATTAAGATAAAGATGTAAATAAAAAGGAAATTTCTAGTGTATATAGAATGAGAATGTGGATGTTTAATGTTAAAATGTATTATTATTATTATAAGATATTAAGAAGAAAATGGAGAACATTATGTTTAAATGTATAATATGCTATAGTATTAAGCTTAGCGATAGAATAGAATAGAATAGAATAGAATAGAATAGAATAGAATAGAATAGAATAGAATAGAATAGAATAGAATAGAATAGAATAGAATAGAATAGGAATTCTTTATTGACCAAGTGTGATTGGATGCACAAGGAATTTGTCTCCGGTGCATAAGCTCTCACTGTACTTATATCTTAGATTTAGAAGATACTTCAGATGAAATGTAGAAGTTCTACCAGGGGTATCCAATCTTGGCACGTTTAAGACTTGTGGACTATAACTTCCCCAGCAGGCTGGCTGGGGAATCCTGGGAGTGGAAATCCTCCCCTCTTAAAGCATTCTGGCTGGGGAATTCTGGGAGTTGAAGTCCTCCCCTCTTAAAGCATGAGTGGTTGGGGGATTCTGGGAGTGGAAGTCCACCCCTCTTAAAGCATTCTGGCTGGGGAATTCTGGGAGTGGAAATCCTCCCCTCTTAAAGCATTCTGGCTGGGGAGTTCTGGGAGTTGAAGTCCTCCCCTCTTAAAGCATGAGTGGTTGGGGGATTCTGGGAGTGGAAGTCCACCCCTCTTAAAGCATTCTGGCTGGGGAATTCTGGGAGTGGAAATCCTCCCCTCTTAAAGCATTCTGGCTGGGGAGTTCTGGGAGTGGAAGTCCACCCCTCTTAAAGCATGGCTGGCTGGGGAATTCTGGGAGTGGAAATCCTCCCCTCTTAAAGCATTCTGGCTGGGGAGTTCTGGGAGTGGAAGTCCACCCCTCTTAAAGCATGGCTGGCTGGGGAATCCTGGGAGTGGAAATCCTCCCCTCTTAAAGCATTCTGGCTGGGGAATTCTGGGAGTTGAAGTCCTCCCCTCTTAAAGCATGAGTGGTTGGGGGATTCTGGGAGTGGAAGTCCACCCCTCTTAAAGCATTCTGGCTGGGGAATTCTGGGAGTGGAAATCCTCCCCTCTTAAAGCATGGCTGGCTGGGGAATCCTGGGAGTGGAAATCCTCCCCTCTTAAAGCATTCTGGCTGGGGAATTCTGGGAGTTGAAGTCCTCCCCTCTTAAAGCATGGCTGGCTGGGGAATTCTGGGAGTGGAAATCCTCCCCTCTTAAAGCATTCTGGCTGGGGAGTTCTGGGAGTGGAAGTCCACCCCTCTTAAAGCATGGCTGGCTGGGGAATCCTGGGAGTGGAAATCCTCCCCTCTTAAAGCATTCTGGCTGGGGAATTCTGGGAGTTGAAGTCCTCCCCTCTTAAAGCATGAGTGGTTGGGGGATTCTGGGAGTGGAAGTCCACCCCTCTTAAAGCATTCTGGCTGGGGAATTCTGGGAGTGGAAATCCTCCCCTCTTAAAGCATTCTGGCTGGGGAATTCTGGGAGTTGAAGTCCTCCCCTCTTAAAGCATGAGTGGTTGGGGGATTCTGGGAGTGGAAGTCCACCCCTCTTAAAGCATTCTGGCTGGGGAATTCTGGGAGTGGAAATCCTCCCCTCTTAAAGCATTCTGGCTGGGGAGTTCTGGGAGTGGAAGTCCACCCCTCTTAAAGCATGGCTGGCTGGGGAATTCTGGGAGTGGAAATCCTCCCCTCTTAAAGCATTCTGGCTGGGGAGTTCTGGGAGTGGAAATCCTCCCCTCTTAAAGCATGGCTGGCTGGGGAATTCTGGGAGTGGAAATCCTCCCCTCTTAAAGCATTCTGGCTGGGGAATTCTGGGAGTTGAAGTCCTCCCCTCTTAAAGCATGAGTGGTTGGGGGATTCTGGGAGTGGAAGTCCACCCCTCTTAAAGCATTCTGGCTGGGGAATTCTGGGAGTGGAAATCCTCCCCTCTTAAAGCATTCTGGCTGGGGAGTTCTGGGAGTGGAAGTCCACCCCTCTTAAAGCATGCTGGCTGGGGGATTCTGGGAGTGGAAATCCTCCCCTCTTAAAGCATGGCTGGCTGGGGAATTCTGGGAGTTGAAGTCCACCCATCTTAAGCATTCTGGCTGGGGAGTTCTGGGAGTGGAAGTCCACTCATCTTTAAAGCAGGCTGGCTGGGGAATTCTGGGAGTTGAAGTCCTCCCCTCTTAAAGCATGAGTGGTTGGGGGATTCTGGGAGTGGAAGTCCACCCCTCTTAAAGCATTCTGGCTGGGGAATTCTGGGAGTGGAAATCCTCCCCTCTTAAAGCATTCTGGCTGGGGAGTTCTGGGAGTGGAAGTCCACTCATCTTTAAAGCAGGCTGGCTGTGGAATTCTGGGAGTTGAAGTCCACCCATCTTAAAGCCATCTGGCTGGGGGATTCTGGGAGTGGAAATCCTCCCCTCTTAAAGCATGCTGGCTGGGGAATTCTGGGAGTTGAAGTCCACCCATCTTAAAGCCTGCTGGCTGGGGAATTCTGGGAGTGGAAGTCCACCCCTCTTAAAGCCTGCTGGCTGGGGGATTCTGGGAGTGGAAGTCCACCCCTCTTAAAGCAGGATGGCTGGGGGATTCTTGGAGTTGGAGTCCACCCCTCTTAAAGCTGCCAAGGTTGAGGAACACCGCTCTGAAGGATCTGCCATCTTCTCAGTGCCAAAGTCCCTGTCCTTAGCCTGCTCTCTTCCTCTCTTTACAGCCTCTTGTTCCAACAACAGTGACATTCTGGAACTTATTAAGACTTCTTGGAGCTGTGATCGTTTTAATTGGTGGCATTTATCTCTTCATTGCTCAGGTAGGATGCCCCCCCCTTTTTTTTATGGCTCCTCTGACCACACATGCATTTTTAGTACAGGCAGTCCTCAACTTATAACAGCTCACTTAACGACTGTTCAAAGTTGCAATGGCACGGAAGAAAGTTACTTATTTTCACAGACCCCTGCAGCATCCGTGGTCCATTGGTCCAAATTCAGACGCTTGGCAAGTGACTTATATTTACGACGGTTGTAGAGTCCCGGGGTCATGTAATCGATGAGCAAAGTCAATGTGGGGAAGCCAGATTCACTTAACAACTGGGTTACTAATTTACCCACTGCAGCGGTTCAGTTAACAACCGAGGCAAGAAATGCTGTAAAATGGGGCAAAACCCACTTAAGAAATGTCTCACTTAACAACAGAAATTTGGGGCTCAATGGTGGTCATAAGTCAAGGACTACCTGTCTAGGTAGTCCTTATCTTACAACCATCCGTTTAACTGCCATTCCAAGTGACCTATGATAGGTCCTCGCACTTACGATCCATTGCGACAATCCTGATAAAAATGCAGACGTTTAGCTTGCAGTGTGTACTTACAACGATTGCAGCATCCCAGGGGGTGCGTCCATGTGTGTGACCTGATCGCCATTTGCGACATCCCCAGCCAGCTTCTGACCAGCAAAGTCCCAGGGGGGAAGCTTGATTCGCTTAACAAGGGCATGTTTCACTTAACAACGGCAAGGGAGTTTCTTCACCATGCCAAACTTGGTCATAAAACTGGGCTCAGTGACTCAGTTAACAACTGCCTTGCTTAGCGACAGAAACTGTAGTCCCAAATTATGGCCACAGACATAAGAATCCCGGAAGCAAAGAAGCAAGGCAAGGAATCCAGGAATCCAGAAAGAACGCAAGGAATCCAGGAAAGTTCAAACGTCGGCACTCAACACTCCAGGAATTTAGTGTTCGTTCCTGACAAATGCCCTTCCCCGCAGTGTATCCTTAAGTCTCAGTCCCCAGGTGTGCCTTGTGAAGAGGGGCGGGGCGCTCTCTTCCCGAGTAGTCGGGTTAGTCTGCGCTGTTCTCGCCTTCTCTCCACTCTCCATGCTTGAGGATCAGGAGGGGGCAGTCCTTGCTCATCACCTGAGCTCCCTTTCTCATGTTCACTGCTTAGACTCTCTTGGTCATCCTGCCCCCGTTTCTCCCTGCCTACAAGCCATCCTAATCCTGAAAGGCCCTGGCCAGACTGGGCCTGCTCCTCCCCATTTTCCTCCCAAGCCAACGAAGCCGAGCCCTCCTCGATCTCCGTGTGCTCCAGTTCCTCCTCGTCTTCCTCTGCATATTCAAGCTCCGAGGGAAGCATGACAGCAATGTCCTGATTTCTGTTCTTATTTATTCCCTTTTAGATTGTTCAGTTCTGGAGAAGACGGCGCTCTCTGAAAAGCCTTGCAATGGACAGCTGCTTCGACATATTCCTGTACGTTGCTGTTTTTATGGAGGGCATCAATCAAAAAAATCAGAATAGAGCTGGAAGGGACCTTGGAGGTCTTCTAGTCCAAACCCCTCTCAAGCAGGAGACCCTAGCCTAGACCATTACAGATAGGTGGCTGTCCAGTCTTTTCTTGAAAACCTCCAGTGATGGAGCACCCTACAACTTCTGGTGGCAAGCTGTTCCACTGGTTACTTGTCCTTCCTCATTGGATGTTGGCCTTTTGTTGGAAGTATCGATGAAAACACCACTTGTTGGCTTTTGTGGCTTAGGTAGGACTAGAACACACCACCTCCTGGTGTTTGGCCCAAAATCACCTCCCGGTTTCATGTCTAAGGTAGGACTAGAACTCTCCGTCTTCTGGTGATTCAAAGTCGTCCAGTCGACTTTGGTGCCTGATGTAGGACTAGAAGTCACTGGCTCCTTGTGGTCGATTCAAAGTCACCAGTTGGCTTTCTTGGCTGAGGTAGGACTAGAACTTACAATCTCCCTGTCAGGTTTTCAGGCCGTCTTCAAATAAATTGTGTCTCAAACAATGTCCTTTTTGAAACAAACTTCCATTTTATTTAGCACGGCAACTTTTACACTGACTCCATGCAGCCAGCACTGCCGTGCTGCCCCAAAATCCCTCCTCTTCCTTCCCCCACTCCTCTGCATTCATTGGCCATCTTCCCAATCATTCACCCCTAATCTACTGCTCCAATTCAAAGAATTTCCCCCCTCCCATCCATCTCCTAGGGGACATTATCTCCAGCTAAAATAAGTAGGTGAAAGGCAACCGTCCCGTTGCAGACACTTGCGTTCTCCTTCTCATGTCAGCACTAGGATAAATGCATCTTGACCTGCTGACACTCCTTTTGATTGGCCCAAAATCACCCACCCAATTTCATGTCTATGGCAGGACTAGAACTCCCAGTCTCCTGGTGATTAGCCCAAAGTTACCCAGCCGGCTTTCATGCCTCTGGTAAACGAGCCAGAAAAGGCAACCAGAAGAGATAATTCTATTTTGTGGTAACAGAATCTTGCAGGTCTGAAAGTACAAATCTCCCGCTGCCTCTTTGATAGCCTGAGGAAACCAAGAAGGATCCTTTCTGGATTTCTTTTTCTTCCCGTTATGCAGCTGTGGGCTCTGCCTTCTCTTCTCTAAACATGCCCTGAAAACAGCATCTCTTCCTCTGTCGTGGTCTTTCCCACCTTACGTTCCCCCTCCCCCAAACAGTGGTGGGATTCAAATAATTTAACAACTGGTTCTCTGCCCTAATGACCCAGCTGGGTGGGCGTGGCCATGGTGGGCATGGCCATGGTGGGCGTGGCCAGGGGTGTGTGACAGGCAGCACTTGGCCTCCTGCAGTCTCCTGGGAGCAAAAACGGGCCACAGGGTGGGGGAGCCCCTCCCCCGCCGTCTGTTTTGGGCCTAGTAGGCCTCCTTGCACTTACCTGGGAACCAAAATGGGACGTGTGGGGACTCCTGGAAAGGACAGGGCGGGGAAGGGAAGGGAGTGGCCACCCATTTTGGGCCTAGTAGGCCTCCCTGCAGCCTCCTGGGAGCAAAAACGGGCCGCCGAGTGGGGCACAGCTGCACACCCCCTCCCCCCGCGTCCTGTTTTGGGCCTAGTAGGCCTCCCTGCCGCCTCCTGGGAGCAAAAACGGGCCACCAAGTGGGGCACAGCTGCACACCCCCTCCCCCGGGTCCTGTTTTGGGCCTAGTAGGCCTCCCTGCACTTACCTGGGAACCAAAATGGGACCCGTGGGGACTCCTGGAAGGGGCAGGGCAGGGAGAGGAGGGGCCAGCCAGCAATTTGCCCGAACCGGTCTGAACCGGTTCGGGCAAATTGCTGCCCGAACCAGTGCATTTCGAATTGCTTCCCCGAACCAGTGCCACCGCTGCCCCGAAATCAACGCTGCTTCTCTGTTTCCCTCTCTGGCCTTTGCCAGGTTTCTGCAGGCAATCAACATCCTGGCCTCCTCCATGATGTTTTTTGCAAACAAGGCAAACTACGTGGTGCCCATGGTATTCGCCTTGCTTTTGGGCTGGGTGAATCTGCTCTACTACACCCGGGGTTTCCAGCAGATAGGAATCTCCATCGTGATGATCCAGGAGGTAAGGTTACAAAACCGGACCGTTTCTGTTTCCAAAATTTCAAATAGTCTTCGACATACTACCGGTTCGTTTAGTGACCGTTTAAAGTCACAACGGCCCTGGGGAAAAAGGGGGACTTTCAGCGGTTTTTCACACTTGCAGCATTCCCCCGTGGTCATGTGATCAAAATGCGGACTCTTGGCAACTGACTCGTATTTACGACCGCTGCCGTGTCCTGGGGATGTGTGTCACGTGATTCCCCTTTTGTGACGTTCTGCCAAACCAATTCAACGGGGAAGCCAGATTAATTCAATAGCCATGTCACTAATTTAACCATGGCAGCGATTCACTTAACGACGGTGGCAAGGGAGGTCGTAAAATGGGGCAAAACTGACTGAACGACTGCCTTGCTTAGCAAAGGAAATTTTGGACTCAGTTGTGGTCATAAGTCAAGGACTACCTACATTGGAATACCTCTGATATCACAGGGCAGCCCCGAATCTAAATTCAACTGATCACGTACAGGTTGTCCTCATTCTAGCATAATAGAGCTGGAAGGGGCATTGGAGGTCTTCTAGTCCAACTGCTCAAGCAGAAGAACCTATATCATTTCAGACAAGTGGCTGTCCAGTCTCTTCTTAAAAACCTCCAGTGGTTGTGAAACTCTCACAACTTCTGGTGGCAAGCTGTTCCACTGGTTAATTGTCCTCACTGTTAGGAAGTTTCTCCTCAATTCCATGTTGTTTCTCTCCTTGATTAGTTTCCATTCATTGCTTCTTCTCCTGCCTTCAGGTGCTTTGGAAAATAAGTTGACCCCCCTCTCTTCTTTGGGGCAGCCCCTCAAATACTCTAAGACAGCTATAATGTGTCCCTTCCCCCCCTCCTTCTTTTCTCTAGACTGGCCAAACCCAAATCCTGCAACTGTTTTTCATATGTTTTAGGCCTTTAATCAGGGGTGATATCCTACTGGTTCGCTCGGGTTCGGGCAAATTGGTAGCGGCAGCAGCGGGTGGTTCGGCGAACTGTTAGCAGCGGCAGTGCAAGGCTCCGCCCACCCGCCCGGATGTTGTTAGTTCCTGGTTTTAACCAGGAAGTACCGTATTTTTCGGAGTATAAGACGCACCTACCATTTTTGGTGAGGAAAACAAGAAAAAGAAATCTCCCTCTGCCTCTGAGCAATTTTGCCTCCTTGCAGCAAACAGCCAACAGCCTGCTTTACTTTCAGTTTCGTTTTCAGCATAGCTTGATTAGCACAAGGGGAAAAAAAAAATCTGCTCCAGCAATTTATCTCCTTGCAGCAAGCAGCAGAGCCCTGAGCAAAACGGCTGAGAGCAAATCAGCTGAGAGTTGGGAGGCCGATCCAATCAACTTGTGCTAATTAGGCTGTGCTGAAGTTGAAAGTTTTTCTTGCTGTTTGCTTGCAAGGATGTAACTGCTGTGAGGCACAGGCCGAAGGGTGGGGGCCAGTGGGTGGGCGGGGCTACATTTGGTGTATAAGTAGCACCTAAATTTTCACCCCCTTTTAGGGGGGGAAAAAGGTGCGTCTTATACCCTGAAAAATACGGTAACCTGTTTTTGACCCTCTGTGCATGCGCAGAGGGTCTACAATCAGACCTGATGATGGTGCGCACGCACTTCCAAACCGGTAGAGAAGTTAAGTAGACTTCACCCCTGCATTTAATCATCCTAGTTGCTCTTCTTCGCACACTTTTCCCAAAGTCTCAACATTCTTTTTGTAATGTGGGGGCCAAAACGGGATGCAGAATATTCCAGGTGTGGCCTTACTAAGGCCTGTTTAGATAAACCAAGAATCCCATTAGCTTTTTTGGCAGCTGCAGCACACAGCTGGCTCGTGTTTAAGGGATCGTCCACTAGGACTCCAAGGTCCCACTCGCAGTGACGGTTTTTGAGCCAGGTTTTCGCCTATTCTCTACCTTTGGTTCTTCCTGCCCAGGTGAAATTTCCACGTGAAATTTCGTGTTTTCGGAGAGGGCCCACTGTTAGGTGCCGAGTTCGAAAGTCAGCAATTTACACATTGCTTCTCATTCTCATTCCAGGCCGTCTTGAGGGATCTTTTCCATTTCCTGATCGCTTATTTTGTCCTCCTCTTTGGCTTTGCAACAGGTGAGTGTCATGGCGAGGGGAGCAGTGGTGGGTTCCTCCCGGTTCGGTCCGGTTCGGCCGAGCCAGTAGCGGTGACGATATGACATCACCGAACCGGTTCTTCCCCCCCACACACCCACCCACCCACGTTATTCTTACCTTTGATTTGGTCCCACCCCCAATCTATTGCTGCCTCCTGAGTCCCAGCTGATGACTAGAGGGAAAAAAACCTGTTTAAACTCTTGCCGCGGGGCTTCAAAGGGCCGCCCTACAGCTGATCAGTGTTAAAAGCAAACAAATGAGTCGGGTCGTAAGTGCGAGGACTGGTCGTAAGTGCGAGGACCCTCCAGAAATGACTCTGACCAGCTAGCCACGCCCACCTAGTCACATGACCTCCAAGCCACACCCACAAAATAAGCCACGCCCACAGAACCGGTAGTAAAAAAATTTAGAACCCACCCCTGGAGGGGAGGCACAGGTGAGCTTAGCCAAATGAAATTAAGCCAAGGTAAGAGGGGCTCGCAGATAGGCCACCGGGGCAGGAGGTAGCCAAACACCAAGGAGAGATCCAAAAAAGAAATTTTCTTGCTTCCAGATGTTGGATGGGTGGGTGCTTCACCACTGGAGGTTTTGAAGAAGAGACTGGGCAGTCATCTGTCTGGAATGATCTAGGCCAGTGACGGCTAATCTTTTTGCCGTCGTGTGCCAAAAGTGGGGGGGAGTGTGAGGGGTCGCTCGTCCGCGTGCCCACACTCATAATTCAATGTGCCCCACCCCCCTTGCATGCACATGCTCTCCCCACTTATGGCACAGTGGACCCGGTAGGCCTGTTTTTCACCCTCCCCAGACTCCAGAGGCTTTCTTGGCGCCTGGGGAGGGCAAAAATTGCCTTCCCCACCCCCGGAGACCAGAAATGGCCCGTTTTCTGACTTCCGGTGGGACTGGAAGGCCTGTTTTTCACCCTCCCCAGGCTCCAGAGGCTTTCTAGGAGCCTGGGGAGGGTGAAAACAGCCTTCCCCACTCCCCTGGAGGCCTTCCGGAGGCCGGAAACAGCCTGTTTTCTGACTTCTGGTGGGCCCGGAAGGCCCAAAAATCAGCTGACTGGCGTGCGCATGCATGCCGGAGCTGAGCTAGGGCAACGCTCACGTGCCCAGAGATATGGCTCCGTGTGCCACCTGTGGCACTCATGCCATAGGTTCGTCATCATGGATCTAGGCCCTAAGGTCTTCTTTTTTTTGAATTTTTTTTTAAATTTAAAACAAAAACAAAACATAAAACCACCATCATTCAAATATAATCACAGACAGTGTGTCGAGTAAAGTCTTCTTTCTTGAGCAGACTAGAAGATCTCCAAAGCCTCTTTCAGTCCTATGATTCTGTGAAAGGTCCTGCTCTTAAGTATTCTTGGTTAAAGAACGCTAAGGAGGCCTGTTTAGCATGCCGAACCCATCTATGATGCTGGACTGGAATTTATAGATATACCTTAACTGGGGGTGGGTGGGTGAGGAGAATTCAGTTTTGGGAAGACAGAAGGTCCATCAGCTGGAAAATTGAAATATGGGTGGCCATAGAAATGGAATGAATGAATGAGAGAGCGAAAGAATGAATAAGTTTATGAATGAATGAATGAATGAATGAATGAATGAATGAACAAATAAATGAATGAATGAGAGGGTGAATGAGTGTGAATAAATGAGTGAGTGGATGAATGAGTGAGTGAACAAATGTGTGAAAGAGTGAATGAGTGAGTGGATGAATGAGTGAACAAATGTGTGAAAGAGTGAATGAGTGAGTGGATGAATGAGTAAGTGAGGTGAATGAAAGAGTGACTGAATGACTAAATTAATGAATGAGTGAGTGAATAAATGAGTGAATGAACCTGGATGAATGTGAATGAATGAGTGAACAAGTGGATGAATGAATGAATGAGCAAACAAAATTAATGAATGAGTGAGTGAATAAATGAGTGAATGAACAAGTGGATGAATGTGAATGAATGAGCGAACAAGTGGATGAATGAGTGAATGAGCGAACAAAATAAATGAATAAATGAGTAAGCAAATGAATGGGAGGATGAATGAGTGAATGAATGAATGGGTGTGTGAAAGAGTGAGTTAAATGAGGATGAATGAGTGTGAATAAGTGAACAAAATGAATGAAAGAGGATGAATGAATAAGTGAATGAATGAATAATTAAATGAATTAATGAGTGAATGAGTGAACAAATGAATGGGAAGATGAATGGGTGAGTGAAAGAGTGAGTGAGTGGGTGAATGAGTGTGGATGACTGAACAAAATGAATGAAAGAAGATGAATGAATAATTAAATGAATTAATGAGTGAGTGAATGAATGAGTGAGTGAATGAATGAGTGAACAAATGAATGGGAAGATGAATGGGTGAAAGAGTGAATGGATGAATGAGTGTGGATGAGTGAACAAAATGAATGAAAGAAGAATGAATAATTAAATGAATTAATGAGTGAGTGAATGAATGAGTGAATGAATGAATGAACAAATGAATGGGAAGATGAATGGGTGAAAGAGTGAGTAGATGAATGAGTGTGGATAAGTGAACAAAATGAATGAAAGAAGATGAATGAATAATTAAATGAATTAATGAGTGAGTGAATGAATGAGTGAATGAATGAATGAACAAATGAATGGGAAGATGAATGGGTGAAAGAGTGAGTAGATGAATGAGTGTGGATGAGTGAACAAAATGAATGAAAGAAGATGAATGAATAATTAAATGAATTAATGAGTGAGTGAATGAATGAGTGAACAAATGAATGGGAAGATGAATGGGTGAAAGAGTGAGTGGATGAATGAGTGTGGATGAGTGAACAAAATGAATGAAAGAAGATGAATGAATAATTAAATGAATTAATGAGTGAGTGAATGAATGAATGAGTGAATGAATGAGTGAACAAATGAATGGGAAGATGAATGGATGAAAGAGTGAGTGGATGAATGAGTGTGGATGAGTGAACAAAATGAATGAAAGATGAATGAATAATTAAATGAATTAATGAGTGAGTGAATGAATGAGTGAATGAATGAATGAACAAATGAATGGGAAGATGAATGGGTGAAAGAGTGAGTAGATGAATGAGTGTGGATGAGTGAACAAAATGAATGAAAGATGAATGAATAATTAAATGAATTAATGAGTGAGTGAATGAATGAGTGAATGAATGAATGAACAAATGAATGGGAAGATGAATGGGTGAAAGAGTGAGTAGATGAATGAGTGTGGATGAGTGAACAAAATGAATGAAAGAAGATGAATGAATAATTAAATGAATTAATGAGTGAGTGAATGAATGAGTGAACAAATGAATGGGAAGATGAATGGGTGAAAGAGTGAGTGGATGAATGAGTGTGGATGAGTGAACAAAATGAATGAAAGAAGATGAATGAATAATTAAATGAATTAATGAGTGAGTGAATGAATGAATGAGTGAATGAATGAGTGAACAAATGAATGGGAAGATGAATGGATGAAAGAGTGAGTGGATGAATGAGTGTGGATGAGTGAACAAAATGAATGAAAGATGAATGAATAATTAAATGAATTAATGAGTGAGTGAATGAATGAGTGAATGAATGAATGAACAAATGAATGGGAAGATGAATGGGTGAAAGAGTGAGTAGATGAATGAGTGTGGATGAGTGAACAAAATGAATGAAAGAAGATGAATGAATAATTAAATGAATTAATGAGTGAGTGAATGAATGAGTGAACAAATGAATGGGAAGATGAATGGGTGAAAGAGTGAGTGGGTGAATGAGTGTGGATGAGTGAACAAAATGAATGAAAGAAGAATGAATAATTAAATGAATTAATGAGTGAGTGAATGAATGAATGAGTGAATGAATGAGTGAACAAATGAATGGGAAGATGAATGGGTGAAAGAGTGAGTAGATGAATGAGTGTGGATGAGTGAACAAAATGAATGAAAGAAGATGAATGAATAATTAAATGAATTAATGAGTGAGTGAATGAATGAGTGAACAAATGAATGGGAAGATGAATGGGTGAAAGAGTGAGTGGGTGAATGAGTGTGGATGAGTGAACAAAATGAAAGAAGATGAATGAACAATTAAATGAATTAATGAGTCAGTGAATGAATGAGTGAATAAATAAATGGGAAGATGAATGGGTGAGTGAAAGAGTGAGTGAGTGAGTGAGTGGATGGATGAGTGTGGATGAGTGTGAATGAGTGAACAAAATGAATGGATGGATGGATGAGTGAAGGAATCCATGAATCCATGAGTGAAAGACTCCGGGTGAAGGACACACAAAGAATGAGATCAGAAAGCAGAGGCCACCTGGTCTGCCCTTCCATACATCACACCGAATTAGCACCTGGTTTTTCTTCTCCACACCCACCAGCAGCCACAAGATGTCAAAACAGCCTTTTAGATATTCTACGCACAGACTTAGCCCTAGATTACTTGGTATCTTGATGCAAACGAAACTCAAACCAATAAGATCAGTTGAACAACAGTTGATGCCTCCAGAGATCAACCAGCCACTCCTGGTCTCCTCCTGTCCTTCAAACTGAGTTTCCCCACCCCCCACCTCAAAGTTTCCAGAGGAAGAATTGAAATTTCAATGACTCCTTGCAGCTCTCGTCGTTCTCACCGGGGGCACGTCCCACTCCGCCCGCAACGCGTCTCTCCCGCTTAGCGACGACTTGAAAGACCAGGCCGTGTATTCGGGGCTATTTCAGACTACTCTGCTGCTCTTCAAGTTCACCATCGGCATGGGGGACCTGGAGTACCACGAGAACTTGAAGCACAGCTATGCTACGATGCTGATGGTCCTCCTTTTTGTCATCGTGACCTACATCCTCTTGCTCAACATGCTGATTGCCCTGATGAGTAACACCGTCACCAATGTCTCCGAACGCAGCCAGAGCATCTGGCAGTTGCAAGTAAGGCCCCTTTGGACTGGGACGGTGGCCATTTCAGGCCCAGCAGGGGCTTAAATAGAACCAGATCCAAAGAATCAGTAGAAGAGAAGATTTGTAGCTCAGGGTTCAACTGTGGGGCCCTCTGAGCTATACTGCGCATGTCTACATTCTTTCTTTTCTAACTTCCTGATTTACTTTCTCCTTTGTCCGTCTGTGTTAGAAAACTGCCGGTAACGATGTAGTTAGTAAGTTTGTTTTATTTCTATATAATAAAATGTTTCTTAGAATATATTTTGGGTTTTCTTTCTTTAAAGTATACAGCATGGAAAACAAGATCCATCCGTCTCTAATTAAATGCAATTACCCCGGGGGGGTATCGAAGCTGATTTACGCTTCGACAGTAACATCATCAGTGCTAGAAGCGAGCAGGTGAAGAAGAGGAGGAGGAGGAGGAGGAGGAGGAGGAGGAGGAGGAGGAGGAGGAGGAGGAGGAGAAGGAAGGAGGCAGTGAAGGAGTCCTTCATGCTCTCTGAGCTTCATGGTTTTCTTGCAGACATTTCATGACCCAACTAGGTAACGTCATCAGTACTAGTCCTTTTAGTATTAGTGGGAGTGTTTTCTTCTTTTTGGCAGTTTCTCCATTAGGTTGTTGTTTACAGTTTGGTTTGCCTTGTGATACCTAGCTGGGTCATGAAACGTCGGCAAGAAAACCACCCAAGCTCAGAGAGCACCCAGGACCTGGCTGTCATCTTCCTCCTCCTCCAACCCTAACTCCCTTCTAGCACTGAGGATGTTACTTAGTTGGGTCATGAAACGTTTGCAAGAAAACCACCAAGCTCAGAGGACACCAAGGACCCCAGAGTTCAATTATGAGATACAAATACTCTTTTCTATTGGTATCTTTCTCTCTCTCGATCCATCCACCATCTATCTATATCTATCCATCTATCCATCCATTATCTATCTTTCTATCTATCTATCTATATCTATCCATTATCTATCTTTCTATCTCCATCCATCATCTCTCTCTCCATCCATCTATATCTATCCATCTATCATCTATCCATCCATCCATCCATCCATCATCTATCCATTATCTATATCTATCCATCTATCATCTATCCATTATCTACATCCATCTATCATCTATCCATTATCTATATCCATCCATCCATCCATTATCTATCTTTCTATCTCCATTCATCTCTATCCATCCATCATCTCTATCCATCATCATCATCGTCTGTCTGTCTGCCTATCTATCTATCTACATACCTGTCCACCCATCCATCCATCCACATATCCTCCCTCCCTCTCTGATTTCTGTTCACCAACCAACCACTCTATTTGCAGAGAGCCATCACTATTCTGGAGATGGAGAAAAAATGGATCTGGTGCTGGAAAAAGAACCAGAGAGACACCCGTTTCCTCCTCATCAGCTTTGAGGACAACGAAGACAAGAGGTGGTTTTTTCGGTAAGCTGAACCACCACGTGCCCAATTGACGTATGAAACACGTCATTTCAGAAATGGACCGTCCCTGGTTCTCTTAGCATAAAGGGAGGGAGGGAGGGAGGGAGGGAGGGAGGGAGGAAGGAAGGAAGGAAGGAAGGAAGGAAGGAAGGAAGGACATTTGTGCTTGCAAAATTCTGTTGCTGTAATCTTATAATAAAAAAACTAGCGTTAGCATTCCTAACTTTGGACTCCTGGTCTGGACTACCTCTAAGGGCTGGTGTGAATTGTCTACAGCTGTGCTTGAAAGGAATTTTTACTGGGTTTTAATTTGGGTGGGTGGGTGGGTTGCAGCCTAAGAAATTATGGTGTGTGTTTGAGACAAGAAAGGAGTGCATACAGGTAGTCCTTGACTTATAACCATGCCTTTAGCGACCGTTCAAAATTTCAACAGCCCTTAGGACTATTTCAGCATTCCTCTCGTCACATGATCAAAATTTGGACACTTAGCCACTGGCATGTACTTATGACGGTTGCAGTGTCCTGGCATCATGTGATCCCCTTTTGAAAACCCTCTTGACAAGCAAAGTCAACGGGGATGCCAGATTCGCTTAATGACTGCACGATTCGCTTAACGACCGCCGTGACATAACAACCGTGGCAAAAAATAAGTTTGTGCAAGGGGGTGCCACTCGCTTAACAGCTGTCTTTGTTTAGCAGTGGAAAGTTTGGGTTCAATTAGGATAGAATAAGAGTTGGAAGGGACCTTGGAGGTCTTCTAGTCCAACCGCCAACCAATTGTGGTCGTAGGTTGAGGACTTCATGTGTCCTGCTGGTAACTCTTGGGTTCTTTTTCTAGAATAGAAGAGGTACAATGCGGAGATTTGACAAAGAAATCCATCCTCAGGGAAGAACCCATGGAAACCAAGACTCTGGAGGACTCATTAGGTAAGAACGGTACCACAGCGGTGTCAGGAGTGGGCATCCACACGTCATTGTGACTTTCTAAGCTGTGAGTTGGGTTTTACGGAGTGGTTTTGAAGTGATGGTATAGAATAGGTGGAACCTGGCTCAATAACGGTAAGTGCGAGAGAAACAAAACAACCACTTCACAAACGCATGGCGCAACATAGGAGAACAAACCCATTGTCAGCACTCCAAACTACATTCGTTCCAGTGCTGACATAAGGAGGAGAAGAGGGGGCAGCTGGCAAGAGGACGCTTGACTTTTCACCTACTTATTTTCCCTGAAGATAATATCCCCTAGGAGATGGGATGGGAGGGCGGACATTCCTGGGAACTGAAGTAGTAGATATGGGGAGAGTGATTTGGAAGAGGGCCAATGAGACGCTGAGAATTGGGGAACGGAAAGGGAAGGTTTGGGGTCAGGAAGTCAGTGTTGGCTACGACGCAGTTGGGGACAGATTGTCGTGCTTAATAAATGAAAGATTTCATCAAAGACTATTTGTTTGGAAATGCAATTTATTTGAGACAACACCGAAACCTGACACCCATCAGGACAAGATTCAGCAGCCCATCTGCATTTAAAAGACAAAGGCCACTCTTTTGAAGACCGTAACGAAGTCCACCTTTTGGACAGAGAAGACGGCTGGTTTGAAAGAGGGGTCAAAGAGGCCATCCGTGGAGATAGATGCCACGTCATTTGTCTATACCACAATCCTTTCAGCAGTTCCAAGAAGACTTCACACCCACTTGCTCTGACCCTGAGGACACAGACAAACCTCCAAAGTGGCCTCAATGGCTCTCTAAAAGGATCCAAATGATCAGCTGTCTGCAAGGAGTCTCAATCCTTCCATTTCGTACCATCCAGTCAGAACTGAAGAAGCTTCTTGGATGAGAAGCGAAAGGTCTTCAAAGAAAAGCCAGAAAGTGCAGAGAAGAGCAACAAAGATGATTACGGGGCTGTGGGCTACTTAAATACATTTAGTCCTCGACTTACAACAGCTCATTTAGTGACCAAAGTTACAACATCACTGAAAAAGGGGATTTTTCGACCATTTTTCACACTTATGAGTATGACCATGGCCGAGTGAGCCAAATTCCAACACTTGGCAACTGTCACATATTTATGACCGTTGCAGTGTCCCGGGATCACGGGATCCCCTTTTGTGACCTCCTGATGAGCAAAGTCAATGGGGAAGCCAGATTTGCTGAACAACTGAAATGATTCGCTTAACAACGGTGGCAAGAAAGGTTGTAAAATGGGGCAAAATTCACTGAACCTGTCTTGCTGAGCAACAAGAATTTTGGACTCCATTTTGGTCGTAAAACGAGGCCTACGGTACCTGTATATGAAGAACAATTGCAGGATTATCTAGGCCCACGATGGCGAACCTATGGCACGCGTGCCACAGGTGGCACACGGAACCATATCGGTGGGGACGTGAGCTCAGTTCCGGTACGCATGCATGCGCAGGCCAGCTGATTTTCGGGCCTTCTGGGCCCACCAGAAGCAGGGAAACAGGCTGTTTTCAGCCTCCAGAGAGCTTCTGGGTGGGGGTGGGGGTGGGGAAGGCAGTTTTTGCCCTCCCCAGGCTCCTAGAGAGGCTCTGGAACCTGGGGAGGGTGGAAAACGGGCCTACCGGGCCCACCATGCCATCACATGCCAAAAGCAGAGGGAAGGCGGGGGGGGGCGGGTCGTGCATGCATGTGTGGGGGGCAGGGTACATAGAATTATGGGTGTGGCACGCACGCGCACGACCCCCCGCACTCCCCCCCCCCACTTTTGGCACATGATGACAAAAAGGTTAGACATCACTGGTTTAGGCTAACAAAGAGAAGGACTGGGGCCGACATGATAGCAGTGTTTCAATATTTGAGGGGCTGCCACAAAGAAGTGGGGGGGAGTCGACTTATTCTCCGAAACCTTTGAAAGCAAGACAAGAAGCGAAGGATGGAAACTAATCAAGGAGAGAAGCAACCTGGAATTGAGAACAACTTCCCTCCAGAAGTGGTGGATGCTTCACCACAGGAGATTTTTAAGAAGAGACTGGACAGCCATTTGTCTGAAATAGTATAGGTCTGCTTGAACAGGGGGCTGGACTAGAGGACCTCTAAGATACTTTCCAACCCTGTTATTCTGCTATTATTATTATTATTATTTATTGGTTAATCTTTAGTGAGATTCACAGCCTTTGAGGCTGGTTAATAGCTCAGCAGCTCGAGTCCTAACCAAGGACCTAGGAACCGTTAAGGTATCATCGGAGGATGTAAACTGTTCCGAGTAAGGTGGTTTTTTGTAGAGTCAAAATGTTCAAGTCCGGCAAATTTAGGATTTCTAAATAGCGGGGTAGCCCTTTGGGTATTGCTCCGAGGGCTCCAATTACAATCGGGACAACACACGATTTCTTTTTCCACAGTCGCTCAACTTCAATTTGTAAGTCCCGGTACTTTGTGATTTTTTTCTTGCTGCTTATCTTCAATCCGTGCATCACCAGGTATTGCAATGTCAATGAACCATCCTTTTTTCTTTTCAACTATTGTTACGTCAGGTGTGTTGTGGACCAAGTGCCTGTCAGTCTGAATCCTAAAGTCCCACAAGATCTTGAGTTTCTCATTCTCTAAAACTTTCTCAACCTGATGTTCCCAGTGGTTTTTGCTGTACTCAAATCCAAACTTCTGGCACAATTTCCAAGTGAATGATCTTAGCAACGCGGTCATGGCGTTGTAGGTAGTCAGTTTGTGAAATTTTGCTGCATCCACTGATCAGGTGGTCGACTGTCTCATCTTTCTCATTGCAGAGGCGGCATTTGCTGTTGGTGGTAATATGTTGAATTTTTGCCTTCATGCAGTTTGTGGCTAGGGCTTGTTCTTGAGCTGCCAAAATAAAGCTTTCAGTTTCTTTTTTCAGTACTCCTGATCTTAACCAGTTCCAAGTTGTTATTATTATTACTATTACTATTACTACTACTACTACTACTACTACTACTACTATTATTATTATTATTATTATTATTATTATTATTATTATTATTATTATTATTCCTTATTTATTTACTTATTTATCTTGTCACATTTCAATGCCGCCCCACTCCCAAGGGACTCTGGGCGCCTTACAACAGAGAATAAAACAATGCAACAATATCCCATACAAAAGTTAAAAGAAGACATTAAAACGTTAAAACGCATACAATCCAATCTGTGAACTTGCCTTGGTGAACATTGCCTTCTGTGTGCCCGCAGATGGCAGTGTAGCTCTATCGAACTCGAAATAGTTTGGCAGAATTCTAGGTTAACTTAGCAGCTCCTTTTCCAACCAGGTAGTCCTCGATTTATGACCAATCACTTAGTGGCCAAAATTACAACAGACCGACCTTGGGACTAATTACAAGCCAGTTCTGAAGATCTGACAGTCGCGTCTCCCTAACTTTGGGTGCATGACCGTTGGCAGTTTCTAGCAGTCACATGGCTGTGATTTACGATGGTCTTGCCCAAATCTGGCACCCCTGGTTTGCTTAATGACCACGGTGTTCTCTTAACGACGGCCACAAAAATGGTCTTAAAACCAACAGATCCATTTTACAACCATTATGGAGAGATTCCATTATGGTCAGAAGGCGAGGATTACCTGCAGACATTTTGGGGCGCTCCGATGCTGCAGTTCCCGAAAAGTTCTGTATTGGCAGTCCTCAACTTATGACCACAATGGAGCCCCAAGTTTCTGTTGCTAAATGAGACAGCTGTAAAGTGAATTCTGCCCTATTTTCCAACCTTCCTTCCCACAGTTGTTCAGGGAATCACTGCAGTTGCTAAATTAGTAACACGGTTGTTAAGTGAATCCGGCTTCCCCGTTGACGAAGGTCGCAAATGGGGGATCGCGTGACACCACCCCTCCCCCCGGGGACACTGCAACCATCATAAATGCGAGTCAGTTGCCAAGCGTCTGAATTATGACTCCTTGACCCATGCGGACGCTGCAATGGTTGTATGTCAGGTTTCCAAAAGATGCCCTAATTAATTCATGAGCCATGATCCAAACTTCAAAGGAAATATAGTCATTTATTAGGAGCAACATTCCGGCAATACTCGGATGCAGTTAGGACTGATCCTGCGTAGATTTATGTTCCCCTATGACCCTGTCTTTCCCCTCCTCTCTGGCCATGTCATAAATCACATTCTCCAATTCACCACTTTGGCTGCCTGGGAAACCTAACACCCTCCTTCTGATTGCGGTCAGAAAGAATGTATGGAATTCACTTCAGTTCTCCCTCCCTCCTGCTCATGGCAACTTGAAAGCTCTGCAAGTTGACATTGTAATTGTGAAAACTGGTCATAAGTTGCTTTTTTTTCCAGTGGCATTCAAACTTCGAACGGTCCCTAAATGAACGGTCGTAAGTCGAGGACTACTCGCGAAGCCCTGCTTAGCGTGGTAACTTGTGCTAATCGCTCGTTTCTTGACTTCCCTCTGTTACTTCAGCCGTGTCCCGCATCTCTTCCTCGGGGGAAGAGGAGGAAAAAAAGGATGAGAGGGTGCCGCTGAAGGACTCGGGAGCGCAGGAGGAGAGCAGTCACCCTGCGGGAAGGCTGAGCGAACAGACTCCCTTAATGACGGAAGAATGTCAGGTGCAAGTCAGTTAAAGGAGCACAGAAGTTCCCTGGGAATGCGTGCCACAAGAAGTTGTGGGTACTCCTGTCACTGGAGGTTTTTAAGATGTTGGATAACCATTTGTCTGAAGTGCCAAAGTATAAATAATTGATGAAGTAATTGAATGGTAAATAATAAACAACATTTAAGTAAATATGAAGAAATGAACTGTTATCTTGAAAGAATGAACGAAGGGTACTGTAACAAATGGAACATTTTTAATTATATATTTGGAACTTAACTAAACGAGAAAAGAAAGTTGAAACGATATTGGATGATGAATTACTTAAGATATATTTAATTGGTCTTGATAAAAATGTCGAAATGTACTATTTGGAATAATTAGTAAAGAAAAAAAACTACCTGAGATTGGAATTAAGGGAATTCAAGAAAATAATTGGGAATTGCATTATGTTATATGAATTTAAATATAGGGGTATTAAGTAAGATTGATAGTAAGGAAGTAAGGAAGATAGGAAGTAAGATTGATATTTGATTTTTTTCCCCTTTATTGAATATGTTTAACTGTTGAAATGCATTATTTGGAATAGTCGATAAAAAGAATTATTGGTGAGTAGAATAAGAGAATTTAAGGAAATGATTGGGGATTGTATTACGTTCTGTGAATTTAAATTTAGGGGCTCAAATTTTAAGGAGGGAAAAGAAAAAAGGAATTATACTAGCATGAGACGTTAAGATGAAGGGTAATATTGGTTTTTTTAAAATTTAAGAGAAAATAAGATACGAGAAAAACTGAATATATAAAATTGTGTCAAAGAGGAACAAAAATCTGTATACAAATTTAAAACCGGGCCAATATTCTGTTCAGAAAAGATGCATTGTGTGTTTGTGTGTTTTAAAAAATAAAAAAAAATTACAAAAAAAAAAAAACCATTTGTCTGAAGTGGTGTAGGGTTTCCTGCCTAAGCAGGGGGTTGGATTAGATGACCTCTAAGGTCCCTTCCAACTCTTCCATTCCATGTTTCAAATTCTATTCCATTCCATTCTATTCTTAGATTTGTAATGAACTTATTTACTGCTCTGGGCAGTTGATTGTACATCCGCTGGACCTTTCAATCTACAGCAAAGCATCCTCTCGCAAAATTATGGTCAGCTACCGCCATCTGCTTCACTACTACGTGGTGACATATTGCCATGAACTGTGGGAAGGGGGAATGACATAGGGCCGTGATGGTGAACCTATAGCATGAGTGCCACAGGTGGTACACGGAGCCATATCTGTGGGCACGCGAGCATTGCCCTAGCTCAGTGCACGCCGGCCAGCTGATTTTCAGGCCTTCCGGGCCCACCGGAAGTCAGAAAACGGGCTGTTTCCGGCCTCCGGGGGTGGTGGGGATGGCTGTTTTAGCCCTCCCCAGGCTCCTAGAAAGCCTCTGGAGCTTGGGAAGGGTGAAAAACGGGCCTTCCAGTCCCACTAGAAGTCGGAAAATGGGCCATTTCTGGTTTCCGGTGTGGGAAGTGGGGAAGGCTGTTTTCACCCTTCCCAGGCTCCTAGAAAGCCTCTGGAGCCTGGGGAGGGTGAAAAACAGGCCTACCGGGTCCACCGTGCCATAAGTGGGGGGAGCACAGGGTAGGGGGGGGGGTCGCACATGCATGCAAGGGGGGTCGGGGCACATTGAATTATGAGTATGGGCACGCGGACGAGTGACCCCTCATACTCCCCCCACTTTTGGTACGCGACGGCAAAAAGGTCAGCCATCACTGACATAGGAAATGCTTGGCGAAACGAAAGTAAGTGCTGTATCTTCTCGAGATGCTGCCTCAAGGTCACCCAGTTGGGAGAAGAAAGGGGCCGCATACCAAACGGTGCTTGGACTGAACCTTACGGAAACATCTTGCCTGATCCTGATTGGTTACAATGGGGTGGACAATGAGAGACAGTTAAGGAAGGGAAAAGTAGAATTTAAGGATTTTGGTGCGTGATTCTCAGTTCTGGCTTTGTAATACTGCAATACACTTTGACCTCTAATAAAATGATACCTTTCTCAACAAATGGGAGCCAAGGATAGTTTTTATTTAGAGGTTTAAACTGTGGCAGGTCCGACAGTTTTTGAATTGATTCTCTTACTTTTAAGATTTTTTTTTTTTACTTTTCTTCTGAAACATCCTTTCTATTATTTTGTCTCCTGCAGCATAATAAAAAGAAACCTGTATCTTGGCTGACCAATCTTTTTTAATTGGCCCTTTGAATCCGGTATTTCTCAACCTTGGCAGTTTAAAGGTCCATGACTTCAAGTCCCAGAATTCCCCAGCAAGCAAGACTGGCTGAGGAATTCTGGGACTTGAAGTCCGTATGTCTTAAAGCTTGCTGGCTGGGGAATTCTGGGAGTTGGAGTCCAGCCATCTTCCAGCATGCTGGCTGGGGAATTCTGGGAGTTGGAATCCACTCATCTTAAAGCATGCTGGCTGGGGAATTCTGGGAGTTGAAGTCCACCCGTCTTAAAGCATGCTGGCTGGGGAATTCTGGGAGTTGAAATCCACCCGTCTTAAAGCATGCTGGCTGGGGAATTCTGGGAGTTGAAGTCCACCCGTCTTAAAGCATGCTGGCTGGGGAATTCTGGGAGTTGAAGTCCACCCGTCTTAAAGCATGCTGGCTGGGGAATTCTGGGAGTTGGAGTCCAGCCATCTTAAAAGCATGATGGCTGGGGAATTCTGGGAGTTGAAGTCCACTTCTCTTAAAGCATGCTGGCTGGGGAATTCTGGGAGTTGAAGTCCACCCATCTTAAAGCATGATGGCTGGGGAATTCTGGGAGTGGAAGTCCACCCATCTTAAAGCTGCCAAGGTTGAAAACCACTGCATTACACAATTCCACTGTTTTGGCAAAACATGCCGAGCAAAAATTCAAAAAGGGGGAACCCTTCAAAATGGATTTAGCTTTGTTCCTCCTTTAAAACACATCACTGAAGAGAACCAAACCAAAGACCTATCAAAATATTGTCAGTAAAACGAAGCAATAAAATCAGCATTAAAACCAACTGTCAAAGCATTCCCTTGTCCACTTGCAGGACACAGGAGTCCAAAATTTCCACGGTTAGCAAGAAAAGTGATTAAATGAGTTTTGCCCCATTTTACGACCTTTCTTGCCACAGTTGTCCAGTGAATCACTGTACAGGTCGTCCTCGACTTACGACAAGGGAACCCAAGATTTCTGTGGTTAAGCAAAACAGCGGTTTTTGCCCCATTTTACGACTTTTCCTGCTACAGTTCCTAAAGTGAATCACTGCAGTAGAGTTACTAACCCCGGTTGTTAAGTGAATCGGGCTTCCCATTGACTTTGCTTGTGAGAAGCTTGCAAAAAGTAATCACATGACCCCAAGACACTGCAACTGTTATGAGTCGGTCGCCAAGAATTTTGATCTTGGGACCGAGGGGACGCTCCAATGGTTAAGTGTGAAAAATGATCATAAGTCACTTTTTTTCAGTGCCGTTTTAACTCTGAACGGTCACTAAATAAACTGTTGTAAATCGAGGACTCCCGGTAGCCGATTTCCAGCACGGCAGCATGCTCGTTGCAATGTTGCTTTCCCAATTATATTTGTTTCCTTTCTTCTCGCTAAGTAAATTGGCCCCAGTGAGAATTCAAGAGGCATTTAGCAAGGCTAAAAGCTTTGTTTACCCCCATGCTTTGCACTTAAGGGTTAATTACCACGCACTTTGTTACACAGGGGAAAACAAGAGTAATGTTCCTTAGGGAAGAAGCAAAAATCCGGGATGGGCCAAGTATCAAGGAGAGAAGCAACCTAGAACTAAGAAATTTCATGACGGTTAGAACAATTAATCAGTGGAACAAGTTGCCGCTAGAAGTTGTGGGGGCTCCATCCCTCGAGGCTTTTAAGAAGAGACTGGACAGCCATTTGTCTGAAACGGTATAGGCTTTCCTGCTTGAGCAGGGGGTTGGACTAGAAGACCTCCAAGGTCCCTTCCAACTGTTACTTTAATTCTAATCTTCAGGATTGCCAAAATAGGCTTTCTTGCCCTGCTGGTAAACTTCATTTAATGGGAAATCTTGGCTTTGTCTGAATTAATTTAGCTGAATGAGCTTTACCTGGGGAAGATTAGGAAAAAAGAGCAGGGGGAAACTGCAGCGGAAATGCTGGATTCAATTGTGGTCATATGTCAAGGGCTATTTGTAGCACATGTAGATAATATAGTCATGGAAAGTGGGGCAGCATACATGTTTACCATATTATTATTAAAATTTTAGTTTCAACCATAATCCCATGACAATATAAAAATTACTTTTTGTAGCTCTTGGTGACTTTTATCAATGCATCCAAGTAGTTTTCATACAGAACTAGCTCGCCAATGTTTTTTCAAAAATAATTTTTCCCCCCCAACTTCCCGGTCTAGTTTACAAAATAATCCTCGACTTACGACCACAATAGAGCCCCAAATTTCTGTTGCTGAGACTGTTGATCTTGCCCCGTTTTGCTAAGGGAATCGCTGCCTCTGTCAAGTTAATAACACGGTTGTTAAGTGAATCTGGCTTCCCCGTTGATTTTGCTTGTCAGAAGGTCGCAAAAGGGGATCACGTAACCCCGGGACATAGCAACAGTCATAAATATGAGGCAGTTGCCAAGCCTCTGAATTTTGATCATATGGCCATGCTGCAATGGTTATGCAAAAAAATGGTTCTGTCACTTTTTTCAGTGCCACTGTAACTTCAAACAATGACTAAACAAATGGTTATAAGTCAAGGACTAGCTCCATAACCCTGGGAGTACAGCCCCTTACTTAAGACAGGCTGGTCTCCCACTTAACTACTAACCAGGTCCAACCAAGCTTGGCAGTTGTTTTCTGAGATCAAATTGGGTGCTGCACCCAGTTAAATCAACATATTTTGCAGTCAATTAAAAAAGGATGCAGGTTGGGCAACATAGAAATGTTTATTAATATAAAAAGCGCTCATCAGATTTAATACTGCAAAAGTAAAGCTGGCATAATTTTCTGAGGTTTCGTTACAAAAGGATTGTGCTTTATTTTAAAACAAGCCACAATAATTAGGAAAATATTAAGGGGGTTTGCCATAGGGGCAAATTTAAACTTAAAGTTTTGGAGTAAAAAAATGGTTTTGGGAGCGGGGGGGGAGGGTTGGGGTTCCCTCTAATCAAAACGTAATGCAAAGCAACACAGCCGAGCAACTCTGACAATAATGTGGTTTTAAAAATCCGGGTACTGTGTGTGAATTTTTTTTCCCTAAAGCATCTGAGAAGGCCTAAAAACTCTCCCTCGGTCCTCCGAGCTCAGGTTTATTCACTGGAAGAAAGTCCCTAGGTTAAGCAGCTCAGTGGCGGATTTGAAATTGAGAACCTTCGCGGAGAACATCCTAAGTTGTTTCTGTACTTGCTTTAAGGAGGAAGAGGTGGCCTTGTTTTTGTATGACACCTCTTTTAAAAGTTTGTCTGCTAAATAGTGAAGCCACAGAATGTTGCTGTGGGGGAAATAATCGGCCCAGCTGTTTGCATTCTCTTCTCTCATCTGTCTATAAATATCAAACTGGTAATCCCCTCCCCCTTGGAAGACTTCTTCGTCGGTGGAAAGGTCACAAAACACTGTTAAACCATCCCTCTCCAGCCTGGAAAAAGTGTAATCAATAATGTTCACCAGAATGCCTTGAGTGGGAAGGACGTGCACTTCGCCGTTCAGGGTAACGGCTACTTCTTTTAAGCTGGTTTTCCTCACCAGCACATTGCCCCAATGTAAGTCCCTGTGTTCAAAGCGGAGGGCTTCCTCGGCGACAGCCAGCGAAGCCGTGACTTGGTGCAGGATGCTCTTTGCCGAAGCTACCGAGCTCAGCTGCCGGTTTCTCATGTTCTCCAGATCCGTGCCTCCAAATTCAAACTCCAGGACCATGAAGAGTTGCTGGTCGCTGAAGAAATCCGGCCGGTTGTTTTCGGACTGCCTCAGCCGGTGGTATTCGTCCCACGCGTTCAAGAGATGCTCTGGATAAGCGCCTTGGACACAATGAACGGAATACAACCGGATAAAACCCGAGGTTCGGTTAGCCACCTCATCGGCGAGGAGACTCAATTCTTTGGAAATGATTATTTCCGGCAAGATTTCAGTAAACGTCTTCTGCGGTTCGCCGTTGACTCGCTCGGTCCCTTCGATCGGGATTATTTTTAAAGCCACGGTTCCCCTTTCAGTCTCGGTTTTGAAAACTTCCCCAAACACCCCTTCCCCGATTTTTTCACACTTCGGCATCTTCTCTTGAGAAATCCACTCCTCAAAGGAGACCGGCCCCTCCTGCTGGCATTCCCTGTAGACTTTTTCAGCGTCCGTCAAGGTCGTCTCCAAGGTGGAGAGAGAGGTCATGGATGACAGCAGCACCATGGAGGAAGATGGGCAGATGGAATAGCCCAGCTTTTGGGTGAAAGGGGTATTGCAAATTTTGTGAAGAGGAGACTCGGCCGAATAATAGCTGATGGCGCTACCGTTCAGGCTTTCAGCCTCGGAGAGGATTTTTTTCTTCTTATGGAGGGAAAAAGAAGCACGGATTCTACGCCACAAGCTGGAATTCTTGAGGGAGGAGTCCAAAGGTAGGAAAGAGACAGAAAGTTGGTCTTCGATCTCATTCCACTTCAGCCGCTCCTGCAGGACGAGAGAATCAGTCTGTTTCCAGGCTGTGTTTTGTCTGTGTGCCGCTCGATCGACTTTCTGGCGACCCCAACGTTTAGAACTGAAGCCGCTAATGCAAGCTTTCCGGCCAGTCCCTCCAGGATTACAACTGGGGGCCACTCGGTGGTTGTTCCTGGAATCAGAGGCTTTAGGCAAGACATGGGGAGACTTGGCCAGGAAGAGGTTTTTCCTCTTCAAGGAACGGGAAGCCTTTTGCTTTCCGGCAGACTGATCCGCCAACCAGTTCAAAACCACCTGATCATTCAGAACCACAACCGGCTGGAACTGGGGGCTGTCGGGAACGATACCGTGGTCACTCGCTCCTTCTGAAAGCCTACCGACCTCAACAGCCATCTCCTCGGGAGCATTAACGTCCTGAGTGAAGCTCAGCTCTCGCTCCTGAGCGAGAAAAACGGACTCTTTTCGGGGACAGAGCGCAATTTTGCCACCCTGCATTCTGGCTTGAAGTTGGAAAACGCCGCAAACAGGACTTCGGGCAGCAGGGCTCGCTTCCGTCACCGAAGCACGATCTCGATCGGACCCTCGGTCCGGGCTCTGCTCTCGCATAACCGGGGAGGCTTCCGTCCCACTCCGGGTCTCGCAACGCTGCAAAGTGCTTTGGATGGGAGAGCCAGTCGTCTCTCTAAAGCCCTCCGGAGGTGCAGGGTCCATCAGCGAACCGTCCCCCGGCGACTTTTGTGGACGTGGTCTGGCCTCCTCGGGGCTGAAGAGCTGCAGAGAGTCCCCCATTTCCTGTCCTTCCAAATCCATCTTCAGCACGCTCAGCTCCAGGAGGGCCCCATGGTGGGACTCCCCGCTGCCTTCTCGGAACACTTCCCACGGGCGTCGGCGTCGGCAACCTGGAGGGTGGGAGACGGGGCTGTGGAGGTCTTTCTCCTCGTCTTCCTCCTGGGGGGCCCACCTCCTTTGGGCCCCCAATGGGGTCAGGAGGGGCCACTCAGGAGTGCTGCACAGCAGAGGAGCCCCCCGCAGGCGAGTGGGGCCCTTGGGGCCAAGCGGGGGGCCCTTCTGGGGCCGTCGGCAGGTGACGTTCCTGCGGAGGGGGGTGGGGGGCACAAAGGGTCGTCTGCTGCTGCTGCTCAGTTTCCCTTTGGGGGGAGGCTTGTTCTCCTTGGGGCCCCCCCGGTTCTTCCTCTTCTTGCCCCCTTTTTTGGCGGACGGCGGGCGGGCCTTGTCTGGCGGGCGGAAATCCGGGTCGTCGTGGCCGTCGTCGTCGTCGAGGGAGGCGGCCGAGGAGCAGGAGGCCTCCACGGAGGAGCTGGTGCTGAAGAAGCGCTTGGGGTCGGCGGGGGGCGAGATCCAGGGCGTCGCCCGCGGCAGGAGCCTCAGCCCGGCCTTGCCTCCCGCTCGTCCTCCGCGGTTCGCTCGCCCCCTCAGCCCCGAGTAGGTCCTCAGCAGCCGCGGCCGCAGTTGCTCCATGCGAGCGGAGCCTCCCAGCCTTGCGCGGAGACACCGAAAAGGGGCCGGGCGGCGAAGGAGGACCCGATTTCCCCCTCAGCCCCTCACCACCCCCGCCGGTTAAAGGCCTCCCCCGGCCCTCAGAGAGGCCGAGCGGGGCCTCCGAAGGCCGCGCCCGCCGCCATTTCAAATCCAAACTCTCGCGAGAGGGTGAGACGGCTCTCGCGAGAGTACAGCCGGGCGCGGCGCGCGGCCCTCGAGCTCCCGCGAGACCTCGAGGCCGCGCGCTTGTGAAAAACGGCCGCTCTGGGCTCTCGCGAGAGCTGCGGCTGTTGGGGAAAAAAAAAAAAAATACTGAGCAGCTCATAGAGGAAAGGGATTTCTCTCCACGCATGACGTCCGGTTTGGGTTTGACAGTGTGTGTGGGGAGGTTGTGAGGTCCTCCATTTGAGGGGTTTTGGGGTTTTATTTATTTTTTGCTTCAAGGCTGGCAGCGTTCAAACGTGCTGCAAGATTTTTATTTTTATGTTTGCTCTGTCGGTGATTTTATTTATTTATTTATTTATTTATTCATTCATTCATTCATTCATTCATTCATTCATTATTTATTGCCTCTTGCAATAGGAAGAACAGCTGAAAACAAGTGGCGCAAGTCACATAGAAGCAGAGCTGCCTGACTAGGTGGCTCAGTGGCTAAGATACTGAGCTTGCCGGATCAAGAAAGGTCGGTAGTTCGGTGGTTCGAATCCCTAGTACAGATCTCCTGCGTTGAGCAGCAAGGGGGTTGGACTAGATGACCTTCCAAGGTCCCTTCCAATTCTGTTTACTGTTACTTGCTCATAGAGGAAAGGAGGAAGCACCGAAGGGGGAAAAAACGTATTATCAGATTGGGAGAACATATGGAACAGAAACCATAAACTAACAAAATCAGCAGCATATAAAAGAAAATGCATATAAAATGTTCTGCGGGTGGCACTTACATCCTTCGAGATTAGCGAAAATGTATCCTAAAAATGAGCCCCATATGTTGGAAATGTTAAAAAGAAAGAGGGAACATACTACCATATGTGGTGGCCCTGTCCTGAGGCTCGAAAATATTGGCTAAAAATTAAAGATTGGCTACAGGAAATTACCAACGAACAATTAGACTTAGAACCGGAACTCTTCCTATTGGGGATCTTCAAAAAAAAATAAAAATGTGAAGGGCACAAAATATCTAGTACTACACATATTAACCGCTGCCAGGATAGCCTACGCTCAATGTTGGAAACAGCCTTGCACACCCGCAGAGAAACTAGTCATACAAAAGGTCATGAATTGTGTTAGGAAATGGTCATTGCCTAACTAGTTGGCCAGGTAATATATAATCCAACATTGTATGTTTGTATTGTGTAACTGTATTATGTTGCTTTAACAACATTGATGGGTCATTCTGCATCCTGATTGGATGAGCTCTGTAGCCAATGTATTTAAGGAGAGATTTATTTATTTATTTATTTATTTATTTACTTCAAATTTATATACCGCCCTTCTCCCTAGGGGCTCAGGGCGGTGTACAGCCAAATAAAAACACATAATAAATACATTAAGAACAGATTAAAAGGAAATATGTCAATTTGGCGCAAAATTTAAAAAGACAAACAAATTTAAAATCATTTAAAAGGATTTCTTAGGCCAGCCCGGCTTGTTGGAAAAGGTAAGTTTTAAGGGCACGGCGGAAGGCACAGAGGTCTTGGATTCTCCTTATCTCTGGGGGCAACTGATTCCAAAGGGTAGGTGCCCCCACAGAGAAGGCCCTCCCCCTGGGGGTCACCAGCCTACATTGCTTGACTGATGGCACCCCGAGGAGGCCCTCTCTGTGGGAGCGCACAGGTCGATGGGAGGTCGTCGGTGGCAGCAGGCGGTCTCGAAGATAACTAGGTCCTATGCCATGGAGCGCTTTAAAGGTGGTAACCAACACCTTGAAGCGCACCCGGAAGACCACTGGGAGCCAGTGCAGCTCGCGCAGGATCGGTGTTATGCGGGAGCGCCGTGCAGCTCCCATAATTACCCGCGCGGCCGCAATCTGGACCAGTTGGAGCCTCCGGGTGCTCCTCAAGGGGAGCCCCATGTAGAGAGCGTTGCAGTAGTCCAGGCGAGAGGTGACGAGGGCGTGAGTGACTGTGCACAGGGAATCCCGATCAAGAAAGGGCCGCAACTGGTGAATCAGGCGAACCTGACAAAAGGTCCCCCTGGCAACAGCCGTCAGATGTTCCTCCAAGGACAGCTGCGTATCCAGGAGGACTCCCAGATTGCGCGCCCTCTCCACGGGGGCCAAAGACTCGCTCCCGATAGTCAGCGATGGAGTCAGCTGACTATATCGAGATGCCGGGAGCCACAGCCACTCAGTCTTGGAAGGGTTGAGCTTGAGCTTGTTCCTCCCCATCCAGATCGGTACAGCCTCCAGGCACTGGGCCATCACTTCAAGGGCATCGCTGGGGTGGCCTGGGGTGGAGATGTAATTGTGGTTAGTGTGAACACTGCACCATATTTTTACCCGCTACTATGCTGTAACTATTTTTGATCTCTCTAAATGGTCATTGTTTGATCATGATTTATTCATTACTGTTTCCTGATATTTATTGAAGTGTTTTTATATTGTTCCTGAATGTTCCTTGTATTTTTTACAAACTGGTAAGAAGATTTTATATCCCTGGATTGATCTTTATATGGCTAAGACTTGGATTGTTAAAATACTATGAATTCGCTTTACCTTTAAAGTAAAGTACTATAAAACCAGTTTGTCTGCATATTATTCACAATGACTCTCAAAACAGTTTCCGTGCGTAAAAACTTCTGATGGTACTCTGCTTTATGAACCCTGACTCTTGGTGGTGACACAACAATATCCTTAACAAATTGCGCAGAAATTGACAAATTAACGCTCAGTCTAAAAGATAAAGAGGCATCGATATTTTACAATGTGTGGGAACAGTGGTATCACTGGATAGAACGGAGATAGATTAAAGATAAATAGTTATTAAGTATAAGTAATAGATAAAATAAGAATGTAAATACGCACAATTTAATTTTTGTAAATAATGCACAAATTATCGTCACAAGAAAAACACCACAAATAGCTGTTGTTGAGTGAAATAATTTTTTTATGTTTTTAATGTAATAAAAGCTTAATAAAGTGTATTGAAAAAAGAAAGAAAGAAAGAGGGAAAACATGGTAGTCCAAGGGGAAGAGGAAGAACAGCGGAAACAACTGGCGCACAGGACATGGGAACTCAAAGGGTTTTACGCTTGCAGAAAGTTGGACATTTATTCTCTGGCAACTTTAAAAAAGGTGGACTTCAACTCCCAGAGTTCCCCAGACAGCTTAATTTTCCCAAAGTTGAAAAATAGAAATTTACTGCGCTGGTATGAGAAGCCCCTCCCGCCTTCCTAGAAGAATGAAATATTTTGGGAAATATTTAAAAAAGAAAGGCAAAATATTATATTTCCCTAAAGGAGAAACATGTTTTTAGAAGCATGATACCAGCACTTAAGGAGATAAAGAGCTTATTGAAAGAGGAAGGCGAGGATCTAGATGGCTCCATTCATAAGCAAAGCAAATCCTGCGGGCAGAAATCCATTCAAGGCAGGATATTTTGAAACTGCTTGCAGCAAAGTTTGACAGGTTTTAAAAGGGGTTTTTAATTAAATATGGGCCATTTTTTAAAAAAATTTACTTTTAAATTGTTTTAAATTTTATATTTCTATGTTTTTATTTTTGGCTGTACACCGCCCTGAGTCCTTCAGGAGAAGGGCAGGATATAAATTTAAATAAATGAAATGAAATGAAAATGAAATGACAGTTAAGAAAGGCAGAGTGATAGGATTGAGGCAGCCCCATCACCCAAGATCCAATATAGGAGGAAAGCCATTAGACATGATAGGAATTGCCCAACTCCCTTTCAGTGTTATGTATGGCTATGTGTAGATATGTACTTTCCTTTGAGAGCAATTTCATTTTTAATGTGTGCCAGGAAAGCACACGTGCTGGGAAAGATGGAGGGCAAAAAAGAAGAAGGGGACGGCAGAGAACGAGGTGGCTGGATGGAGTCACTGAAGCAGTCGGCGTGAGCTTCAATGGACTCCAGAGGATGGTAGAGGACAGGAAGGCCTGGAGGAACGTTGTCCATGGGGTCGCGATGGGTCGGACACGACTTCGCTAATGTGAATGGTGTAGGAATAGTACAGGGTCAGCTATATGAACACTGAAGGACCCTCTTTATTCACATTATTATAAGAAAGAAATGCGCTGGTTTAGAGATTACACTAAGTCAGCTAAATTCCATTCTTGGTAATATATATCTTCTGAGGGGCCTAGCAGTCAAGGATGCAAGGACATCCATATGAAACAAAAAGTTACTTATTATCCAAAGCAGCCATGAATCTATGCATCAGCAATTACAGAACTGAGGAAGGTTGTTTAGCTAAGATAATCTTATGAACTAGAAAATAATGTAGGAATTTAGTAATTTAGAAAGTGTCAATTATAATGTAACAAATGTACGTTAACCATATATGGAAAACTGCTGTGCTCGCAAAATCCTTTGTCTTGGAGATGTATAAAAGCAGTTGTATCAGAGCTCTTATACATATCCAAGACAAAGGATTTTGCGAGCACAGCAGTATTCCATATATGGTTAACGTACATTTGTTACATGATAATTGATTCTTTCTAAATTACTAAATTCCTACATTATTTTCTAGTTCATAAGATTATTTTAGCTAAACAACCTTCCTCAGTTCTGTAATTGCTGATGCGTAGATTCATGGCTGCTTTGAATAATAAGTAACTTTGAATAATAAGTAACTTTGAATAATAAGTAAAAAATAATAAGAAACTTTTTGTTTCATATGGATGTCCTTGCATCCTTGACAGCTAGGCCCCTCAGAAGATATATATTACCAAGAATGGAATTTAGCTGATTTAGTGTAATCTCTAAACAAGCACATTTCTTTCTTATAGTAATGTGAATAAAAAGGGTCCTTCAGTGTTCATATAGCTGACCCTGTACTATTCCTACATCATTCACATTAGTTGCAGGAACTGGGTATGTCTAGTTTAATGAAAAGAAGGACCAGGGGAGACATGATAGCATCTTCCAATATCTCAGGGGATGCCCCAAAGAAGAGGGAGTCAAACTATTCTTCAAAGCATCTGAAGGCAGGAGAAGAAGCAACGGATGGAAACCAGTCAAGGAGAGAAGCAACCTGGAATTAAGGAGAAACTTCCTGACGGTGAGGACAATTAACCAGTGGAACAGCTTGCCACCAGAACTTGTGGGTGCTACAACACTGGAGGTCTTTAAGAAGAGACCGGACGGCCACTTGTCTGAAATGGTCTATATACGTCTCCTTGCTTGAGCAAGGGGTTGGACTAGAAGACCTCCAAGGTCCCTTCCAATGCTGATATTCTATCTTCCATCTAGTCTCCAGTGCCTTGCACAGCTCTAACATGGCTGTTTGAAAAGGATGCAGCCAAGGCCGGTTAACAGAAAGGTTGAGGACATAAGATCTTCTTGTGGGTAACATTAGTGGTGGGCTTCAAATTTTTTTTACTACGGGTTCTGTGGGCGTGGCTTGGTGGGCGTGGCATGGCTTGGTGGGTGTGGCTCGGTGGGCATAGCAGGGGAAGGATACTGTAAAATCCCCATTTCCTCCCCACTCCGGGGGAAGGATACTGCAAAATCCCCATTTCCTTCCAATCAGCTGGGACTTGGGAGGCAGAGAATAGATGGGGGCTGGGCCAGTCAGAATTTTTACTACCAGTTCTCCGAACTACTCAAAATTTCCACTGCCGGTTCTCCAAAACTGGTCAGAACCTGCTGAGACCCACCTCTGGGTAACATGATAGCGGCCTTCCAGTATTTGAGGGGCTGCCCCAAAGAAGAGGGGGGGGGGTTCAAGCTATTTTCCAAAAGGCAGGACAAGAAGCAACGGATGGAAATGAATCACGGAGAGAAACAACCTGGAATTAAGGAGAAACTTCCTAACAGTGAGGACAATTAACCAGTGGAACTGCTTGCTACCAGAAGTTGTGGATGCTCCAACACTGGAGGTTTTTAAGAAGGGATTAGACAACCCTTTGTCTGAAATGGTATAGGCCTTCCTGTTGTGGAATGATGGGACCAAACAACATTCCTGGGTCAGCCAGAGACAGTTTTATTGCGCAGTTTCAGAACCAGATTCGTATCTGCAATTCTGAACAAAGGAAGAGTTCTGATACAGCTGCTTTTATACATATCCAAGACAAAGGACTTTGCTGGCACAGCAGTTTTCCATATATGGTTAACATACATCCGTTACATGATAATTGACACTTTTTTAATTAATAAATTCCTGCCTTAATTTATAGTACATGAGATAATTTTACCTAAACATCCTCCTTAGTTCTGTATCCGCTGATGCGTAGATTCATGGCTTAATAATTAACTTTTTGTTTCAGATGGATGTCTCTGCATCCTTGACGGATATCTTCCTCAGAAGATCTATATTATATATGGTCCTTGCATCTTTGACAGATAGGCCCCTCAAAAGATATATGTCGCCAAGAATGGAATTTCGCTGACTTAGTGTAATTTCTAAACAAGCACTTTTCTTTCTTAGAATAACGTGAATAAAGAGAGTCCTCCAGTGTTCATATAGCTGACCTTATACCATTCACATTATTCACATTATTATATGATTCACATTATTCACTTTATTCCTGCCTCAGCAGGGGGTTGGACTAGAAGACCTCCAGAGGTCCCTTCCAGCTCTATTCTGAATTTGCATTTGAAAAGCCGGCATTTTAACCCCACGGGGATCTGCAGCACAGCACAATATTTTAGACGAGGCTGGCATTTCTGCCGTGCTCTCTCTCAGAGCGGGTTGTTTCCTCTCCACCTTCTTCACCGCCGCATCTCTTCGCCCACCCATCCATCTGATGCGCCTCTGATCTTCCAAAATGGACCAGATCGCCTGGAAAGAATTGTGCTGCTCGCTTTTTGATTACAAAACCGAGAAGTACGTCATCGCCAAGAACAAGAAAGTGGGGATTCTCTACCGTGTGGTCCAGCTCTCCATCCTGATTTACATCGTGGGGTGAGGATATCTTGGTCTTTTATCTTGGGAGAATAACTCGGCTTCCTCTGCAGGTAGGGATGGGAGGAGGGCGGAATTCGCAGCACCGGGTGCAACCTGAGAGGTGCCAAGGTGGGAAGGGGAGAAGGGGAGGTGGGGAAAATTGGGGAGGTGGGTCTTTCTTTCTTGACGGGAGTCAGGGAGGGTTTTTCTCCAGGTCTCCATCCTTCCCTGGCTGGCTGGATTGGGTCTGGGTGCAAAACAGATGTTTGGGAAGCTGGAAGCTGCATTCAGGTGCCATTCGGAGGAGCTCCTGGCTCCAGAGGTTGGGAGGCAGGTTTTTCCTGTTCGCTCGGGAGAAGGAGAACCTCGGCTTATCTGCATTTGGTGGCTGTGCGAATTCAGTGGAGCGTCTTCCTTTCTTTCTTTTGGTCCTTCTCTCTCTTTCTCCTCTCTTAACATTCCTCTGTGGATTGTCCTTCCGTCCTTCCTTCCTTCCCATCCTCCCTCTCTCTTTCTCTCCCTACTCCTTCTTCCTTCCTTCCTTCTCCTTTCTCTCCTTCTCCTTCTTTCCTTCCTTCCACCCGCCATTCTTCTCTCCCGCCCTCTCCTTCCCCCTCCCCTTCCTTCTTTCTTTCCTACCTTCCACCCTCCTTCCCACCCTCCCTCTTTCACTCCCTACTCCTTCTTCTTTCCTTTCTTCCTTCCTTACTCCCTCTCCTCCTTCCCTTCCTTACTCTTTCTCTCTCCCCACTCCTTCCCCTTCCTTCCTCCCTTCCCATCCTCCTCTCCTTCTTTCCTTCCTTCTATCTTCCGTCCTTCCCTTCCTTCCTCTCTCCTCCTTCTCCTTCCCCTTCCTTCCTCCCTCCTCCTTCTCCTTCTTTCCTTCCTTCCACCCTCCGTCCTTCCCTCCCTCTCCTTCCTTCCGCCTCCCCTTCCTTCTCCCTTTCCTACCTTCCACCCTCCTTCCCACCCATCCTCTTTCTCCCTACTCCTTCTTCTTTCCTTCCTTCCTTCCTCACTCCCTCTCCTTTCCTTCCTTCCACCTTCCGTCCTTCCCTTCCTTCCTCTCTCTCTCCCCTCTCCTTCCCCTTCCTTCCTTCCTCCCTCCTTCCCTCCTTCTCCTTCTTTCCTTCCTTCCATCCTCCGTCCTTCCCTCCCTCTCCTTCCTTCCGCCTCCCCGTCCTTCTCTCTTTCCTACCTTCCACCCTCCTTCCCACCCATCCTCTTTCTCCCTGCTCCTTCTTTCCTTTCTTCCTTCCTCACTCCCTCTCCTTTCCTTCCTTCCACCCTCCATCCTTCCCTTCCTTCCTCTTTCTCTCCCCCCACTCCTTCCTTCCTGTCCTTCCTTCCTTTCCCCGTCCCCCTTCCTCCTTTCTTTCCTTCCTTCCTTCCACCCTGTGTCCTTCCCTTCCTTTTTCTCTCCATACTCCTTCCTATTCCTTCTTCCCTCCCTTCTCTTCTTTCTTTCTTTCTTTCTTTTTCTTTCTTTCTTTCTTCCTTCCTTCCACTCTGTGTCCTTCCCTTCCTTTTTCTCTCCACACTCCTTCCTATTCCTTCTTCCCTCCCTCCTCTTCCTTCTTTCTTTCTTTCTTTCTCTCTCTCTCCCTCCTTCCTCTTTCTCATTTTCTTCTTTCTCATTTTCTTCTTTCTTTCTTTCTTTCTTTCTTTCTTTTTTTCTTTCTTTCTTTCTTTCTTTCTTTCTTTCTTTCTTTCTTTCTCTTTCTTTCTTTCTTTCTTTCTTTCTTTCTTTCTTTCTTTCTTTCTTTCTTTCTTTCTCTCGCTCTCCTTCCCTCCCTCCTTTCCTCCCCATCTCACCTAAGGGAATCCTGAGGGGCTCTTAAAATATCATCTGCATTTTTTTCCTCTTGATAGAAAAGTGCTAGGGAGCTTCCTCGTCCCAGCCAGCCTCTTTTGGGGTGCCTGAGGGCTGAAAAAGCCTTAAGAGACCCCGGAAACCCCTGTATCACCCCCCCCCCGCCCCAGCAGAGATTAGGGTGGTCTTGTGAGTGGAGCTAAACAGATGGGAAAATCTCTGTTCCGTCTCAGTTGGCAAGGAAGCCTAGAGATGATCTGCAGGTATTCAGATGCAGGGACACTCTGCATCTGCTCAGAGACCCCATTACCTCTGTTGGAAATGCAGCATCCAATATTGGGGCCTTTTATTAAATCAGGGAGTTATGGAAAAAGCTGCATGACATGAGGAAGACAAATGCTGGCAGGAGCGAGTGACTCAGCAAAATGAAAAACGTGGAAGGGACGTTAATCGCTAATTGAGGCCACCTCAAAGCTCTCGGTTTCCGCTATGAAAACCACAACCGACCTGTGTCTTTTTTTATTTATTTATTTTTATTTATTTTATTTTCTTAAATTTCTATACCGCCCTTCTCCCGAAGGACTCAGGGCGGTGAACAGCCCCGAGATAAAACACATAAATACAAAAAAAATTGAAAATGAATTAAAAATTGGAAAAAAAAAAATGAATTTTGTTGTGACAATACCGGTAGTCCTCGACTTACGGCCACGATCGAGCCCAAAATTTCCGCGACAGGTATTAAATGGGTTTTGCCCCGTTTTACGACCTCTCTTCGCCACAGCGGTTTTAAGAAAAATCACTGCCGTTGTTAAGTTAGTCACGGGGTTGTTAAGTGAATCCGGCTTTCCCCACGGACTTGGCTCGTCAGAAGGAGATCACGTGATCTGGGACACTGCAACCGTCATAAATGTGAGTCAGCGGCCGAATTTTGATCCCGTGACCCTGGAGAAGGCTGCGACAGTCGTAAGTGTGAGAACTGGTCAGAAGTTACTTTTTTTCAGTGCCGTTGTAACTTCGAACGGTCACTAAATGAACTGTCGTAAGTCGAGGACTACCTCTAAGCTGTTTCCTGAGAATAGAAAGAGTAGATGGGTGGAGAAATAACTTGAGTTTGCTAATGAGGAATATTCATGCTGACATCATCCATTACCTATGCACTTATATGACTATTATCATTTTTTCCCCTCCTCCCCTGTAATGGATGAAAATAAATATACCGTATTTTTCGGAGTATAAGATGCACTTTTTTCCCCCCTAAAAGAGGGTGAAAATTTAGGTGCGCCTTATACACCGAATGTAGACCCACCCACCCACTTCCCCCCACCCTTTGGCCTCTGCCTCGCAGCAGTTTACCTCCTTGCAAGCAAACAGCAAGAAAAAACAGCTCCTTTCAGCTTCAGCACAGCCTAATTAGCACAAGTTGATTAGATCGGCCTCCCGACTCCCAGCTGATTTGCTCTCAGCTGTTTTGCGCAGGGCTCTGCTACTTGCTGCAAAGAGGTAAATTGCTGGAGCAGATTTTTTTTTTCCCCCTTGTGCTAATCAAGCTATGCTGAAAATGAAACTGAAAGTAAAGCAGGCTGTTTGCTGCAAGGAAGCAAAATTGCTCAGAGGCAGAGGGAGATTTCTTTTTCTTCTTTTCCCCACCAAAAAAGGTAGGTGTGCCTTATACTCCGAAAAATACGGTATCTCTTTATTTGCTGGAATCCCTTCCACTATTTTCTGGGGTGAAATTCCTCCAGAAAATGTATACCGAATAAATAATAAATTTTAGTGAGACTTGATTGGTTTGGAGGTCCTGAGTTTGATGCCACAATTGTAGGCGGTCCTTGACTTACGACCACAACGGAGTCCCGAATTTCCGCTGCTCAGCAAAACAGTCGTTAAGTGAGTTTTCGCCCCATGCTACGATATTTCCTGCCACCGTCGTTAAGCGAATCGTTGCAGAGTGCAGAGAAGAGCAACTAGGATGATGAGGGGATTCATAAATATGAGCCAGTTGCCAAGCCTCTGAATTTTAATCACATGAGCACGGAGATCAGTGGTGGGTTTCAAATTTATATACTACCGGTTCTGTGGGCGTGGCTTGGTGGGCGTGGCAGGGGAAGGATACTGTAAAATCTCCATTCCCAACCCACTCTGGGGGAAGGATACTGCAAAATCCCCATTTCCTCCCCATCAGCTGGGACTCAGGAGGCAGAGAATAGATGAGGGCAGGGCCAGTCAGAATTTTTACTACCGGTTCTCCAAACTACTCAAAATTTCCGCTACCAGTTCGCCAGAACTGGTCAGAACCTGCTGATACCCACCTCTGGTGGAGATGCTTCAAAGTTCGTAAGTGTGAAACATGGTCATACAGTAAGTCACCTTTTTTTCAGTACGTTTGTAACTTCGAATGGTCACTGTTGTTAAATCAAGGACTACCTGTAAACTCTACAATGAATTTGAGTCCCGGTAATTCTTGGTTCCTAACCTGATCTACGTCGAAGGTCACCAAAAGATCATTCAGCCTGGGTTTAAACAGCTCCAGAAAAGAATCCATTCTCTCTAGAGGCATCGGTTCCACCAGGGAACAGATTTTAGATCTGGAAAATCTTCTGAGACAGAATCATAGAATGTGAGGGTTGCAAGGACCTTGAGATCATCTAGTCCAACCCCCTGTCCAGGGCTGGGGTATACCGTTTCAACATCCCTGAAAGATGGCCATCTAGTCTTCCTTCCTTCCTTCCTTCCTTCCTTCCTTCTCCTCTTTCTTTCCTCTCTTTCTTTCTTTTCTCTCTTTCTCTCTTTCTCTCCCTTCCTTCCTTCCTTCCCTTCCTTCCCTTCCTTTTGTTTTTCTTTTTCTCTTTCTTTTTCTTTCTTTTCTTTCTTCCTTCCTTCCTCTCTTTCTTTCTTTCTGTCTTTCTCTCTTCCTCCCTCCCTCCCTCGCTTCCTTCATCTCTTTCTTTCTTTGTCTTTCTGTCTTTCTCTCTTCCTCTCTCCCTCTCTCCCTTCCTTCCTTCCTTCCTTTCTTTCTTTCTTTCTTTCTCTCTCTCTCTCTCTTCCTCCCTCCCTCTCCCTTCCTTCCTTCCCTCATCTTTCTTTCTTTCTTTCTTTCTTTCTTTCTTTCTTTCTTTCTTTCTTTCTTTCTTTCTTGTCTTTTTTTCTTTTTTCTTTCTTTCCTTCCTTCCTTCCTCTTACTTTCTTTCTTTCTTTCTTTCTTTCTCTCTTCCTCCCTCCCTCCCTCCCTTCCTTCATCTCTTTCTTTCTTTGTCTTTCTGTCTTTCTGTCTTCCTCTCTCCCTTCCTTCCTTCCTTCATTTCTTTTTCTTTCTTTCTTTCTTTTTCTTTTTCTTTCTTTCTTTCTTTCTTTCTTTCTTTCTTTCTTTCTTTCTCTCTCTCTCTCCCTCCCTCCCTCTCTTTCTTTCTCTCTCTCTTTTAATTTCTCTCTCTCCCTTGCCCACCCTCTCTCTCTCTTTCTTTCTTTCTTCTTCTTTCTTCTTCTTTCTTTCTTAATATAATTCTCCCCACATTTTACTGGTCTCTACTGAAACACATCCAAAGGAGAAGCCACCAAGCTTGAGAAGGGAGCCTTCTGAAGGCCAACCAAGATTATCTCTCCTGAAATGCAAAACCTGAGGAACTCTAAACAGCCCTTGCCCCAACAGACCCATGGGCTATTTTTAATCGCTTAACCTTTGACCTCCCCAGGTGGGTCTTCATGGTCAAGAAAGGGTACCAGGAAGTGGACACCTCCATCCAGAGTTCGGTCATCACCAAGGTGAAGGGCGTGGCCTTCACCAACACCTCGGAGATGGGCAAAAGGATTTGGGACGTGGTGGACTACGTCATGCCTCCTCAGGTACCAGTTAGGCCTCTGCTTACCACCACAACTGTGCCCACGATTTCTGTGGCTAAGCGAGACAGTTGTTGAGGGAGTTCTGCCTCACTTTACGGCCTTTCTGGCCACCGTTGTTAAGTGAATCACTGCCGTTGTTAAGTAAGTCGCACGGTTGTTAAGTGAATCAGGCTTCCCCCTTGACTCTCCTTGTCAGGAGGACGCAAAAGGGGAATCAACGTCATCCCGGGAGGCTGAAACCGTCATAAATACGAGTCAGTTGGTGTCAAGGGCCTTGAATTTTGATCACGTGACCACAGGGGGATGCTGCAACGGTCGTTAAGTGTGGGAAATGGTCCTCTTGTTTTCAGGGTTGTTGGGACTTCGAGTGGTCACTAAATGAACTGTTTGTAAGTCGAGGATGACTTGTGGTGGGGCTCACTGCCCATGGTCCACATCGGCTTCAATACTTGAAGATGGGTGGACTTCAACTCCCAGAATTCCCCAGCCAGCATGGCTGGCTGGGGAATTCTGGGAGTTGAAGTCCATCCATCTTGAAGTTGGTTGCTAAGGGACCTGTTGCTAAGAGAAACAGAAGGGACTGAAAAACTCACTGCTTTCTCTGCAGATTTCTTAATATTGGGTCAGGAGCTACCCCTGCTTCACCTCCTCTGCACTGTCTCCTCCAAATCTCTCCAAAACACGTTGTTCCTTTAAGGCTTGGATTCCAGGGTCCATCATTCCCAGCCAGATGGGGATAAATGGCCTGATCTCTTTGAGAAGTCCAGGATGAGGGAAGGGTTGTGTGTTTTGACTGGCTGAGGTTTTCCGATGGCTCAAAATAGAAGAGAAAAATTTTCCGGGCTTTCTGCAAAATGCCACAGATTAATTTCTTTCTTTCTTTCTTCCTTCCTTCCTTCCTTCCTTCCTTCCTTCCTTCCTTCCTTCCTTCCTTCCTTCCTTCCCACTTTCTCATCTTCCTTTCCCACTTTCTCATCTTCCTCCCTTCTCTCTCCTTCCTTCCCTTCCTTCGCCCTTCATCTTCCACCCCTTCCTTCCTTCCTTTCCTTCCTTCCTTTCCACTTTCTTATCTTCCTTTCTCACTTTCTCACCTTCCTTCCTTCTCACTCTCTCCTTCCTTCCTTCCCTTCCTTCTCCCTTCTTCTTCCACACCTTCCTTCCTTCCTTTCCTTCCTTCCTTTCCACTTTCTTATCTTCCTTTCTCACTTTCTCACCTTCCTTCCTTCTCACTCTCTCCTTCCTTCCTTCCCTTCCTTCTCCCTTCATCTTCCACCCCTTCCTTCCTTCCTTCCTCCCTCCCTCCCTCCCCATTCTTCCTTCCTTCCTTCCCTTCCTTCCTTCTCACTTCCTTATCTTCCATTCCTTCCTTCCTTCCTTCCTTCCTTCCTTCCTTCCTCCCTTCCTTCCTCCCTTCCCTTCCTTCTCATTTCATCCTTCCTTCCTTCCTTCCTTCCCTCCCTCCTTCCTTCCTTCTCACTTCCTTATCTTTCCTTCCTTCCTTCCTTCTTTCCCACTTTCTCATCTTCCTTTCTCACTTTCTCATCCTCCCTTCTCTCTCCTTCCTTCCTTCCCTTCCTTCTCCCTTCATCTTCCATCCCTTCCTTCCTTCCTCCCTTCCTCCCTTCCTCCCTTCCTCCCTCCCCATTCTTCCTTCCTTCCCTTCCTTCCTTCTCACTTCCTTATCTTCCATTCCTTCCTTCCTTCTTTCCTCCCTTCCCTTCCTTCTCATTTCATTCTTCCTTCCTTCCTTCCTCCCTTCCCTTCCCTTTCTTCTCATTTCATCCTTCCTTCCTTCCCTCCCTCCCTCCTTCCCTCCTTCCTTCCTTCTCACTTCCTCATCTTTCCTTCCTTCCTTCCTTTCTACCTTCCTTCCTCCCCTTCCTTCTTTTTCTCGCAAAATTCACAAACTTTTTTCCCCTAATTTCTTCCCTCTCTTTAGGGCGAAAGTGTTTTTTTCGTGATGACCAATCTGATCATCACCCCCAACCAGCGGCAAGATACCTGCCCTGAGGTAAGATGGGACTCATATTGGCCAGGGTCACAGGTGTGCAAGGAAACGTCTTCCTTGCAAGCGGAAGGACTGAGTGTGCAAAGAGTGAGGAGCATTAGATCCCAGGAGAGAGGGATATTCGGGTAACCCAGGTTCAAAACAAGAAAGGAATACACGATGAATCTTGGAGGTCTTGTAATCCAGGGGTGTCAAACTTGATTCCATTGAGGGCCACATTAGGGTTGTGTTTGACCTTCGGGGGGGCTGGAGGTGGGCGTGGCCAGCTTGATGTCACTCATCAGGGGCTCAGGTGGTGGCCCTACTGCTCAGCCAACGAAAACGGGGTCCTGAGCTCCGTTTGCAGCTCTGACGGCCTCCTGCAACCTTCAGCCAGCAAAAAACGGAGCTCAGGAGGGCTATACTAAAAATAGAAATAAAATTATTATTTTTTTTTTAAATTATTATTATACACGACCCTCCCATGCTCCGTTTTCACTGGCAGAGGCACCCCGGGCTGGTCCTTCACTGTTTCCAGGGCGGCTAGGGGGTGACATGATAACAGTCTTCCAATATCTGAGGGGTGGCCACGGAGAAGATTTAGGGGGCAAGCTATTCTCCAAAGCACCTGAAGGCAGGAGAAGAATCAACGGGTGGAAACTAATCAAAGAGAGAAGCAACCTCCAACGAAGAAGGGATTTCCTGACAGTGAGAACAATTAACCAGTGGAACAGCTGGCCACCAGAAGTTGTGGGTGCTCCAACACTGGAAGTTTTAAAGAAGAGATTGGATAGCCATTTGTCTGAAGTGGTGTAGGGTTTCCTGCCTAAGCAGAGGGTTGGACTAGAAGACCTCCAAGGTCCCTTCCATCTATTTTATTGCTCTGCTCTGCTCTACTCTGCTCTGCTCTATTCTATTCTATTCTCTCCTGTTCTCTTCTCTTCTCTTCTCTTCTATTATTCTATTCTATTCTATTCTATTCTATTCTATTCTGTTCTCTTCTCTTCTCTTCTCTTCTCTTCTATTATTCTATTCTATTCTATTCTATTCTATTCTATTCTATTCTATTCTATTCTATTCTATTCTATTCTATTCTATTCTATTCTCTCCTGTTCTCTTCTCTTCTCTTCTCTTCTATTATTCTATTCTATTCTATTCTATTCTATTCTATTCTATTCTATTCTATTCTATTCTATTCTATTCTTATTTAAGAAAAGACTGGACAACCTTTTGTCTTAAATGTTAAAGAGTGTCTCCTGTTTGAGCAGGGGGCTGGACTAGAAGACCTCCAAGGTCCCTTCCATTCTGTCATTCTGTCACAAAATGTTCCAGCCTGATAAGACTGGGACGTGCTAAGTCTTTCTCTTACATTATGGAAGGAAAGGAAAGGCAGTGATTTTGTTCAAGGTGTCTTTTTGAGTTTGATGGAGGGAGGGGAAAAAAAATAAACATTATATGATTGTATTGCTCTTGGCCGCTTGGTACAAATATTTATTGGTGTTTTGCCTTTGGTCAAGGCCATTTAGGAGGTCCGATCAATTTAATGTGATGCCAAGGAAGCTATAAATAATACAATGTTCGGCTCTGGGAGATTTGGAGCGGAGAATTGCTCTTTAGCCTGAATAATCACAAGAGGAAAAGCTAAGGATGATAAATGGATGCTTACAATATTTCAGGATCATTTTTTTTCCTTCTTTGGAATTTACTTATTTTTATTTCACATTTCTTAACCGCCCTTCTCTCTCGGAGTCAGAACTGCAAATACTGTGCAGGGAGTCCTCGACTTACGACCAGAATGGAGCCCCAGATTTCTGTTGCTAAGTGAGACGGTTGCTAAGCGTCTGTTAAATATCAGATCCTCCCACTCTACTCATCCTACTTCCACCCTTTGCATTTTTTAGCTATATTTTGTATTATTTTTATAGTTTTGTAGCATTCTGTTTATATAGTTATAAACTATATAGTTATAAAAAGTATATAGTTACAGTATTATTTTTTAATACTGTAAGTCATCAAGAGTTACCCTGCGGTAAGATGGGCAACCAGTAAATTTGATAGATAGATGATACAGATAGATCGATAGATCAATAGATCTAGATGATAGCTAGGAGAGAGAGAGAGAGAAAGAGAGAGAGAGATAATACAGGTAGACTCTAGAAAGAGTGCAGAGAAGAGCAAACAAGAGGATTAGGGGACTGGAAGCTAAAACATATAAAGAATCGTTGCTGGAACTGGGTATGTCTAGTTTAATGAAGAGAAGGACTAGGGGAGACATGATGGCAGTCTTCCAGTATCTCAGGGGCTGCCCCAAAGAAGAGGGAGTCAAGCTATTCTCCAAAGCACCTGAAGGCAGGACAAGAAGCAACGGGTGGAAACTCATCAAGGAGAGAAGCAACCTGGAGAAATTTCCTGACAGTTAAGAACAATTAATCAGTGGAACCACTTGCCTCCAGAAGTTGTAAATGCTCCAACACTGGAAGTTTTTAAGATGATGTTGGATAACCCTTTGTCTGAAGTGGTGTAGGGTTTCCTGCCTAAGCAGGGGGTTGGACTAGAAGACCTCCAAGGTCCCTTCCAACTCCTATTCTATTCTATTCTATTTAGATAGACAATAGGTAGGTAGGTATGGTAGATAGATATGATAGAAAATACAGATAGAGATAGATAATCGGTAGGTAGGTTGGCAGGTAGGTAGGTAGGTGGATAGATAGATAGATAGTTAGTTACGGCATTGCCAAGGGAGGAATTCTGGGAATTGGAGTTCACTCATCTTAAAAGTAGCCAAGCTTTAGAAACCTTGAGCCAAACAAACCGAGTTTCTTTATTATTTATTTATTTATTTATTAATCAAATTTCTATACCGCCCTACTCCCGAAGGACTCAGGGCGGTGAACAGCCAAGATAAAATACAGATAATACAAATATTAAAAATCCCTTAAAATTATTAAATATTTTGGCCGAAACACAGATTAAAACACCCAATTTATAAAATCACGAATTAAAAATTTAAAAGAGGAGAGTGGTGGTTTAGTGGTTCTTCATGAGAAGGAGGCAACATCAGAGTTCAGGTTTATATCCCATCCTCCGCTGTATCTTGATCAGTTTAAAATATGATCCTGGAAGAATTCCAGTTGACTTCCAATCTTGAGTTAAGACTTTAAAAAGATGAATTTGTTCTTCCTGTCTCCTCCAGAACCCCGGTATTCCAGATGCCTTGTGTTACCGTGACAACGACTGTCCTCGCGGAGAAGCCGTGATAGCCAGCAACGGTATAATTGCTATTAAATATTATTTCACATAGATTTGGCATTTTTATCTACTCACTGAGTCCTTCCCGAGAATTTAAGATAGGCACAGATTAGCCTGATGAGGAGGCTCAGTGGCTAAGACACAGAGCTTGTCGATCGGAAAGGTCGGCAGTTCAGTGGTTCGAATCCCTAGTACAGATCTCCTGCGTGAGGAGGGGGTTGGACTGGATGACCTCCAAGGTCCCTTCCACCTCTGTTACTATTAAAATTTACATGTTCTCACATGTTTAATAATATTATAGTTCTTGCTCCAGAATTATTCCAAGTCAATCTGTCTTTTGCAATTGACCGATGGTGGTTTATTATAATGAGGATGTTTCATGGCATAGACAGCTAGATTTAATTTGGCATTTTTAGCCACCTGTCCAGAGAGCTCGGGATAGCCAGATGTTGATGTTTAATAATATTATAGGTCTCTTTGCAGAATTTAATCTAACCCAGGTCAAGCTGCCGTTTGCAACAGACCGATGGTGATTTATTCTGATGATGATCGTTCGGTGCACATTTAGCCAGATGTTCAGACTGCATTTTTTATTTTTTTAATAAAGTCTTTATTAAGTGTCAACCTCAAATATTAATATTCAAATTAAGCTGGAAAGAAAGTAAGAAACTACAGCTAAAGTGACCCAAAAGTTATACATCCAAGAAATTGATAATATCTATGTCAGGGATAAGGGACGCAGTGGCTCAGTGGCTAAGACGCTTAGCTTGTCGATCGAAAGGTTGGCAGTTCAGTGGTTCGAATCCCGAGTGCCGCGTAACAGGGTGAGCTCCTGTGACTTGTCCCAGCTTTTGCTAACCTAGCAGTTCGAAAGCAGGTAAAAACTGCAAATAGAAAAAAATAGGAACCACCTTTGGTGGGAAGGAACAGCGTTCCGTGCGCCTTTGGCGTTGAGTCATGCCGGCCACGTGACCACGGAGACGTCTTCGGACAGCGCTGGCTCTTCGGCTTTGAAACGGAGATGAGCACCGCCCCCTAGAGTCGGGAACGACTAGCACATAGGTGCGAGGGGAACCTTTACCTTTACCTCAGACTGCATTTGGCATTTTTGTCCACCTATCCAGCCCTTTCTAAGGACCTGGGATAGCCAGATGTGGATGTTTGAGGGTGCTAGAGGTCTCAGGGCAGGATGTCAGCTGTTCCAAGCAAAGCTACCCTTTGCAATTGACTGATGGTGAATTTGTCAATTCCGATGGTGTTCAAGGGGTGCTTACCCAGTCAGCCAGATAGATGTTTAGACTGGATTTGCTCTTTTTGTCCACCTGTTGTGGCTCCGTTGCCTGAGCCTGGGCTATCGACAGATGCAGACTCTGAGAGTGAGGCAGAGGAGTTGGCAAGGCCTCCCTCTCCAGGACCCTCCTCTCTGGCAATGCCTCCGGAAGACACCAAAGGCCAAAAGATAGGCTCAGAGCCAAGCACGTCCCCGCAGCCACAGGTGGACAGCGACGAAGGAGATAAGTGCTGGCGGGACCCTCAGCAGAGGCGCAGGGAGAAGCGTGCGCAGCAGAGGGGAAGGCGTGCCAGAGATTAGCTGAGTCACTGGACTACACCCCACAGGGTATAAATGTGGGTGTGGTGGCCGGTTCAGTTTGTGATGAGCAAAAACTAGAAATGATCCATGATCTCTGCGTTACTGGACTTTGCCTGCTTTATCGGACTGCATTTGGATTAATCCTTGTATTGTTGAAACTCTGCCTGCTTTATCGGAATGCTTGCAGTCTAATCTTTGTTTTGTGTGAGTAAAGTCTGAATTGGCAGCTAGCCACTGGGTTGCTGCCAGCTTTATTTTCAAAGAATTTTGCCATGTGGCTTATTAACTCCGGGCCATCCGTGGGGGTCCGTGTGTGGTACGGGGACAGAACACCACCTATCAAGTCTTTCCCAAGCACCTGGGGTAGCCAGAGGTTGTTGTTTAATAATATGAAAGCTTTCATGGCAGGATGTAAGCTGTTCCAAGCAAAGCTGCCTCCTGCAATTGACTGAAAAGGATTTTGTCAATGCCGATGATGTTCCAGGAGTGTTCCAGATGTTTTGGGATCTCATCCAATTCATTCCAGGCATTGACAACTCTGTTACTGAAGTCGTATTTAGCAGGGGGCTGGACTAGAAGACCTCCAAGATCCCTTCCAGCTCTATTCTGATTCCGATTCTGATTCTTTGCTTTCTTTTGCCATAGTCGTTCTCCTTCTATTTGCCGGTCTTTGCATTTTGTAATTTTTCTCCCTTTTTTTTATTACTATTGTCGCTCCTTATGGAATTACAGGTAGTCCTTGACTTAACAACAGTTTGTTTAGTGACCATTCAAAGTTACAACGGCACTGAAGAAAAGTGACTTGGGTTATGACCGTTTCTCACACAACTGTTGCAGCAACGTGATCAAAATTAGACGCTTGGCAACTGACTCATAATTATGACAGTTGCAGTGCCCCCGGGGGTCACTTGATCCCCTTTTGCTAAGCAAACGACCACATGACTCACTTAACAACCGCGTGACTCACTTAACAACCGTGTGACTCACTTAACGACCACATGACTCACTTAACAACTGCAGTGATTCATTTAACAACCATGGCATGAAAGGTCGTAAAATAGGACGAACATCACTTAACAGATGTTTCGCTTAGCCACATAAGTTTTGGACTGAAATGTTGAGTCGTAAGTCAAGGAATACCTGTGAAATCTCACCAACTGCATTCAGTCACAGCAACTTCGATATGCAGGATGTTAAGGATATTGTTGTTGTGTTACCAACCAGCAGAGTGTAGAGCACAGAGGAACGTTGCTAAGAGCAATGAATAAGAGATGTGCAAACTGGTTTATCAAAAGTTTACTTTATAGTGAAAAAACAATCTCATAGTATTTAAATCAATCCAAGTCTTTGCCAGTTAAATCAGTCCAGTGATACAAAAAGCTTCTTACCACACAAACAGTAGTTGGTTAGAATAACAAATTCACTCTGGTTCACAAACCACGATGGTAGCAGATCCATCCAACGATGACAGCACAATGGTAGCAACTCCACACACAATGGTAGCATATCATCATCTGAATACTTTACAGTACCTTTCTTAAATACGTTTACAACCAGTGATTATCTAATTAAAGTCACATAATACATATTCATATTAAAGTCACAGAACACATACATTGCCTGGACAACTTGTTAGGCTCAAACCATATCCTAACACAGGATTAAAACATTGAAGTGAACAATGCCACTTCAGGGTAAGTAGAGAGGATAAATGAAGCTTTGCAACAAGATTAAAAACTCCTCTGCTAAAAAAAAAAAAATCAAACAGCACCTCTCAATAACACAATTAATTAAAATCAATTACTGCAAAAAGCAACAGCCAAGTGTTTGAAATCCCTCTGCGCTCTTAATTCCCCTAGGAGGATTAGTCATCCCTATTTTTGCTAATTATAGGATTAAGGGGGCCAATTGTTCTCTTTGGCATTTTTTCAAATAACAATTTTTTTTTTAAACAAATGGGAAAATTAAGCTGACTTTGCAAAGGTGGGGAAAAAAAAGAAGAGTGCCAGGCGATTTTCCATCTTCGCCCCTGGCGTGACTCATAGACTGACTGATAGACTGATAAATCTTTCTTCCGACCATGGTCAGCCAAACTGATGCAACTGTTGAGGGGTCCTCTATTACATCATGACTCTTGTCTGTGGGAGAACTTTTTCAATCTACGGCCCCGTGGGGTTCCGCCATGAGAGGGCGGGCCGGAGGTCGCCCCCATTGGAGGAGATAATTTAGGACCCTCCTGCTGTTGTGGGAGGACAGTTGAGATACCAACAGCACATCGATGAACAATTGGCTGTGTTACATCTTTTGTGAAGTCCCCTGTCTGAGCTTTGAGCCTCCATCGCTGCAATTTGGAGATGCATACGACTGCAGATCTTCTTGCGCTGCGAGATTCCCCCTTCTCGCAGATGTGGCCCTCCTCACTATCGAGGGCCCACCTCAAGGAAGGGTTTTGGGACCCAGAGAGGTGGCATGTGAAAACGAGGGGATTGAGGGGTTTTCTAACAAAATTTTTAGTGAAATTTTTAAGGGGTCCTAGGGAGGGGGGAGGGTCAGATTGGAATTCGGGCTGTGGGTATGGGGGATAACCCACAAGGGGGAGGGTCGAGTCTGGCAGTGAAGCGTGGCGTGGGGGATGGGGGACCCGGGATCGAGGGGGGGGTTAGAGCTTGTCCGGATAGTTTTTTGAACATCAGTACTGTAGGTGGGAGGGGTAGATATGGCGGGAGCAGGGGGCCATATCGTGTTAGGGGAGTGCGCACTCGCTGTCTACGAGCGGTGGCGTGCTCTGGCCCCCAAGGCTCTACTCGCTCCTCAGGTTGCATAGACCCTCAGGACCCAGGCCTTCGGCTGATGCTGTGCAATGCCAGGTCCGTAGTAAATAAAGCCCCCCTCATCTGTGATCTTGTTCAAGAGGGGGGTGCGGACCTGGCAGGTATTACGGAGACCTGGTTGGGCCAGGAGGGGGGGGTTTCCCCTCGTTGAAATGTGCCCGCCAGGTTTCCAAGCATTCCATCAGCCGAGGTCACAGGGGAGGGGCGGGGGGGTAGCGGTTATCATTAAAGAAGGTCTGAGACCGAGGGAGGCCACTGTTCCTCAGACGGCCGGCTGTGAATCCCTTTTTGTGAAATGGGGTCATGGGGTTCAGATGGGTTTGCTGATCACGTACCTGGCTCCCTGCCACGTGGCAACAGCCCTGCCCGAGCTACTCAACGTCATCGCCGCGGTGGCGGTTGATACCCCTAAGCTTATGGTCATGGGGGATTTCAACCTGCCGTCCGTGGGTGAGACGTCAGAGATGGCTCGGGAGTTCATGGCTTCCATGACAGCTATGGACCTGACCCAGTTAATTCATGGCCCTACCCACACAGGGGGAAACACGCTGGATCTGTTTTTTGTCTCTGGACAGTGGTTGAGGGATCTTGATATAGG